AGGAATCGGGCGATTCCTGGTTTACCTGGTGGTTCAATCAACGACCAGGGACACCCATCCAATTTCCCAAAAAAGGACACCTATGGCTTCACATCTTTGGATTGCATCGGCGTTTTCCGGCAGCCTCCAAGTTCTGTGGCCGTGAATGCAACATCCTGTGAACCACACATCCCCACTCCCTTAAAAATGGAATTGGGGGAGGGGGGGTGACCCCTGGAATTCCCATTTTTGGTCCCATTTTATTTTGCGGGGAGTGCATAAATGGAATTGGGGGACCAAAATCCCAGCCCCCTCCCCGCAAGGTAGAGGGGAGAACCACACCATTTGGGTTCAACTGCGAGCTTGATGAGCCATGGCCCACTTTCTAGGGGGTTTCTCAACCCAGTCGGTTTTCGAGCCCTGAGCAGCCTTGAACTCGAGAAATTCTGAAAGGAAGTGAATTCGGGTCTCCGAGCTTTTGGCGATTTTTTGGACACATCTCTTTTGGCATCTATTTTTTTCGGAGGTCTGATAAAGAGTTCTGAGCCTCTTTTGGGGACCCTCAAAATGGGCTTCCTTTTGGTTTCGGTGTACAGCGCCCCAAAAAGAATATTTTTGTGGACGAAACGGCTTGGACCCTTAGTTGGTTCCCACCTCAAATCCTTGGGTGGGCACGGCTACATGCTTGGTGGTTGGCGCTGCCAGACAAGTATGGGCAACATGTGTTCACTGTTCTTCGGCCATGTGGCCGTGGGTCAAGACCGTTTGGGGATACCATTTTGGTTGGTAGGTGAATTCACCACACATTTTAGAACCAATTTTAGTGGGGATTGGGATGTTCACTGGGGGTACGGGATTTTGACCCATGGCCATGGGTGGATAGAGCACCATTCTTATGGGTTTAGCCGCATCCTCAAAACCGATTCGGGTAGATGAAGGTTAGCAAGGGATATTCCGAACCATAAAATAGGTGCAGCCGCCTTTTTGATTCTTTACATGACTCTGAGTGGACCATTCTTAGTACCAGGGTTTGATTATAATAGGTGGCTCGTACAATAGTGGCTTTCCTGTGGATCAGAGCCGTCTCAACAAATCCGGGCTGTAGCCGTGAAGGTTGAGGGACAGTGGATATTCTCGGCCTCGAGTTTTGGGTGTTGGTGGCCCCAAATCGCAAGGGCTCCATGGTTTTGCTGACTTCAGGCGTTCCGATCGTTGATGCCAACTGGGAATCGAATCGGAGCCCATGGCCTTTTTCCGAGCGAGACCTCCAGGCCAAGAATGAGGAGCAGGAGAGACTTGCCTCCATGCTGCCCGGCGGCGAAGGGGCCGGACGTGGCAAGCCAAGATCCACGAGGGAAGTTTTTCTTGCCGGTGGGTGGGTGGGTGGGTGGGTGGGTGGGGGGGTGGGTGGGTGGGGGTGGGTGTGGGTGGGGGTGGGGGTGGAAGTACTGTTGGGGTTCTTACTCTTCTAGAAAAGGGCCGCATGCTGCCAGATCGCATGGCCGCATACTCGCCATGCGCACTTGCTTGTCTCCCGGTATGTGCCTTCATTTGTCTCGGACCGCATGCTGCCACATCGCAGGGCCGCATGCTCGCAGGTGTCGTGGTTTCATTTTGTTTGCATGCCTCTCGGACATCTGCGAATGCATTTTTTCTCATGATCTTCAAGAGAACCCCGTGGAAGCCCACCTGCAGTGCCGTTTTGAGGCAACGCCTTTTATGTAAGTGTGCACCCCAATCTCACTGAGAGGTGCACATCGGAAGAGCTACAGGTGCGCTTCCCGGAACAAAAGCGGAGGGGAGGTGATGTGCAGTTGGCCTTTCCTCAAGGCTTGTCCATCCCAAACTCGGGTGTCTTTGGTTTTTCTTGCTTGTTTTGTTGGCTTTGGTGCAACATATGCATCAAAGACTGTAGAGATACACACACACACACATACAGTATAAATTTGTGCTTTGACCATACATGAGTTCTTTGCATTTGTTGGTTGTTGTCGGTTTTCGTGCGACCCTTTACCACGCTCACTGTGAAAGACCACCAGTGCCGTTTGCGTTCAACACAACGGTTGTTTGGTTGGTTGGTTGGTTGGTTGGTTGGTTGGTTGGTTGGTTGGTTGGTTGGTTGGTTGGTTGGTTGGTTGGTTGGTTGGTTGGTTGATTGCTTGCTTGCTTGCTTGCTTGCTTGCTTGCTTGCTTGCTTGCGTGCTTGAGTGCTTGCATGGTTGGTTGGATTGTAATGTTGACCCCGGATGAATAACACCCTGTTTATTAATATAGGGGTGTTCCCCTCCAAAAGTGATAAATCCCCACTAAAACCAGAAAAATGGACACCCGCAGATCAATAGACAAAGGTTTGTCACTCCGGAGTTCACATTACCTCCAAGGGTCGCCTCGAGAACCCGCCCTCCGAGGCTCCTTGCGGCGGAGTCGGGGGACGCGGCCGGGCTGGCGATGTATCTGGACTTCGGGCTGAACCCCAACGCGCCTCGGAGCTCCGGAGCACGCGAATCCTCGACGTGGGGAAGGGGAGGGGGTCCATTGGCTGAAATGGCGGTGGGTCAAATGGCACCATCTTGGGGTAGGTGAATTCACCCCCCATTTTAGAACCGGGATGAGTGGTTGGATTGAATCGGATGTTCACTCGGGGTACGATTTGGATTTTGACCCATGGCCAAATGGGCGTGGTTCAAACTTCACTTGCTGGTGCGATAGGTAGGGAATGTAGGAATGAACTTGGGGATTCCCTTAAAGAAACCCCATGTACCAAGAGGCCACAGCTACATGTTGACATTTTTTTGTGTTGCCTCCTGGTATTAAAGGGACTCGATTTCACTGGATGTTTCGCTTTAAGCTTGGGGACTTCAGACGGAGTGGGGTTCCCAAGTTTTGGTGTTTCGCAAGCCAGGCCTCTCCTCTAAAATGGCTGGGTCCCTTTTGGTCCACCTGTTCGCTCGTTCAAGTTGCCAGCCCTACACCACCTGGGTCGGTAAAACGCAGGTGGCAGATGTATCCTTTGGGGCGTCCCGATGAGCGGCGCCCGACCTATTTTCTCTTGGCTCCCTCGTGGTGGGGCTGTTTTTTTTTTTTTTAGGCGCGGGGGGTGGGTTCCTGATAAGTGAACAGGAGAAGCGCAAAGATATTTTACATTTGCTGGTCGGTTTGAGTGGACTCTCTTTCAAAGGCGGGATCGCCCGAGGCACGTGGGTTCTGCCCCGATTCTGTTTTACCCGCAGGGGTTGAACAGAATAAACCATTCGCCGCTGAGTTCCACAGTTTGGGATCTTTCTGGTGGGGGTTCCTCTACAAAAGAGGAAAGGCCCTTTCTGAAGGCATGACGCATGACTCGGCCAACACGTGTCAGTGGCCTGGAGCCTTTGTGTGAAGCAAAGTGGATGGACAAGCTGACGGGGTTGCTTCAGTTTTTGTCATTCCGCTCTTTACAAGTCTCAGGTGCTTGACCAATAAGGTTGTAGCGTTGTCTCTTGGCTTCATACTTCTACAAGCTTGCCGTGCCAGAATCGCTTATGGGATTCCAATGGATGTTGGCCCGTGGTGCCATGTTCGAGCAGCGTCAAACGTCCCCAGTCAAACGTCACGAAGGTGTGGGCCCCGTGAGCCAATGCCCAAGCCCATGTGGATGGCCCAATGGCACCTAAGGAGGCACGACTGCTCAAAGCCCAATGGCATGTCCCGGGTGTCTCAAAGCCCGAAAATGAGCTATCTCGTTAAAACAGCCCCAGGAAGGGACCCATTCTTGGTCTACCCCAAGACCGAAGCCCAAGTCTCCTTTTTGTGGGCTAGGCATGCCTGTGGATGGTTGCGAAATCCATTTCGCGCCACCTAAGAAACCAGGGTTGAAATGCAAGGACCTGGAGCTCGTAGATTGACATGCATGCCCGGGAATTGCCAAGGCGCAAGCCAAACTACTGTGCATGGACGAAATCCTGCACCACCTGAGAAACCACGGGGAACCTTTTTTTGCTTGGTATTTACAGGGGAATCATCAATCCAGGGTTTCTCAGATGGTGCAGGATTTCGTCCATCCACAGTATGGGACAAAGAGGAATTGAGGGAAACCAAAGGAAGAGCATCACTGGATCCAAAGACGCCTCCAATCTGAGCGAATTGAAGGATCAGGGACTGTACATCTGTGTTTTCAACCATTGTTTCTTGGTATTTGCCGGGGAATAGCATCATTTTCTTGGGACTCTGACGGGCGGTGTGTTGGATGGATTTTGCGTCCATCCACCATATCAACAGTTGAAACCATTGTTTGTTGGCATTTGCGTTGGGGAATCGAATCATTGCGGTTTTTGTAGGTGGTGCAGCGTTTCGTGCATTCACAGTGGTTGAAGCGTAATGTTGACCCCATATCAATCAACCCAAGTTTATCATAGGGGGGTGTCCCTGGTTTAGTGGGGAGACATCACTATTTGAGGTGAATACCCCTATTAATAGACTGGGGTTGGTTAACATGAGATCAACATCACCTTTGAAGCAGTCCAAAAGTAGATCCCAGCTTTTAATTGATTTGGAATGGTTTGAGGATGTAGCGTACCCAGCCTGAAGTACCCTGCCCCATCAAGTATGGCAACAGCCAACTGTCCATGGCTCCGATCTTTTTTTCCCCAACATGGTTTTTTTCATCAACACCCACTGCAATTGGCCATTGTGTGGCTTGGAACCCTCAGAAAAGTTAGTTTCACCTTATACCCATGGTGAAAAGCCAAGCCTTGAAACATAGTTTCAGCCACTGAACCGCCGTACCTTGGGCTGCCAACTACTTGATGCCAAAAACAGTAAAACATGAGACTTGGGAACACTTGGCCACTGGGAACTTGCGCACTTAGGGACACAACTTGGACACGTCGGAATTGGGTGGGACACTTGGAACACTTGGGTGGGACACTTGAGCCACAATCAAAACCTGGGTAGATGAAGGTTGGTAAGGGACGATCCCCTTGCCATTAATAGCTGCCGATACCCGCCTTCTTAGTCCTTGAAGCATGGTTCTGGGAGTGCGACCATTTTTTGATAGCGAATTTTAAGCAAGTGACTCAACTATTACCAGGCTTCCATTCTAAAATTCCCCTCTTTGTTTGTGACCCACAGCCACCTGGCGCTTTTCGGAGAAAGAACCGCTTGGGAGCTGGCGCCTGAGGCGCGGGACGGGTACGGGCGGACGCCTCTACACCTGGCGGCATGGCTGGGGCATGCCGCGGCCCCTCGGAGAGGGGTGGGTTGAGCCGAAGTTGAAATGGGGACACTCCTTGGCCAGAAATGGCCGTGGTTACTTCAAAACCGTTTGGGGATCCCATTTTGGGGTAATTAGGCGAATTCATCACCCATTTTAGAACCGGGATTTTAGTGGTTGGATTGGGATGTTCACTAGGGGTAACCGGGGTTTTGACCCATGGCCAGAAATGGGTGCGGACCATGTCCTTTTTGGTGGTTTGGCTCGAAAAATAGCATGGCGATTCCTGGTTTACCTGGTGGTTTAAATTATCTACCAGGGAAACCCATCTATTTCCCGAAAAAGGACACACATGTTTGTAAGGATAAGGGGACACTCCCCTTGCCTGAAATGGGTTCGGACACCAGTCGATTTTTCTCCATTTCCTTTGCTTGGTTTTGGGTAGACCAATTTTTAATGTTGATGGGTTTTGATGACTTGAAATCAGGGACTCCCAACATGGATTCCGGTTTTCCTGGGGGGAAGCGTCGTAGGGGATTCCCACCCAACAAGGGTTTCCTCAAAAAACGACCGCCACTCGAGAAAAGAGAGGGAGCATTCCCCTGACCTGGACTTCGTTTGGAGGGACATCCATGGCTGATGGCGTTTTTTCTTCCGACCCCTACGAGCTGTTGAGTCTTTTGGAGTTCGGAGTTCGGGGGTTGACGTTGTATTGGTTGAGTTGCACTGGGCGATTTGGGTATGGGTCAAAATGAGTCACCAGGAAAAAAATGTGGACCGCAGGCTCTCGTCCTTGGTTTCATTTACCAACCCATTTAGGGGACCGATTTTTGACCCACAGCCATTTGAGTTGGTACCAACTCCCGTGGCCACGTTGCCGCTGGCAGAAATTCACTCCAACATCTTGAGATCCAGTTGCGGAGGTACTGGGAGAGGTTTGGTGCCGATCTCTTTCGGGGTAGGTTTTTTTCAGCGCTGTCTTCGGGGTCCTGCGATTTTTTTGGGTCCCCCTAAAAGGAAATTCTCCTCTAAACGGACAGTTTGCCGTGTTCTATGTTAATCTCTGGGGGAATAACTAGCCTACAATCGTGATAACTGGGATAACTGGGCCAAGCACACATTCTTTGTACGTGTCTTTTGTGCATGTGTGGTCCTTGAGTTTGGCGCACCTTTGCGTGTCAATTCTGCGAGTCGATGTTTGAGGGATTTTGGTAATGCCGAACCTTTTTCTTATTTTATCAACCCCTGTTTATTCATATGGGGGTGGTTTTGGCAAACCCCTCCGAAAGTGGTCTGATTCCCCACATTTCACCCAGAACCCCCCCCCCCCCCCCATTGAAAAAAAAGCTGGGGTCATCATTAGAATTGCCCCCCCATATTCATCAACTGGTTGGTTGAGACACATCTGGGGATAACCTCACCCCGGAGTCTGAGGGCCTGGCTCGAACCACACTTCTGATGGCCATCGAAATTTCCATCCGTTTCGCACCTTTCAGAGACCAGGAGAGCTTCGGAGATTCGATTTCCCAAGGTAAGAACGAAAAAACCGTTCTGTTTTCATTCCCCTGAGTTTTCCATTTCGTGGCGAAATCGAGAAGCGGGCTTCGCCCACATTTTTAGCGTGCCACTTCGCCACGCTGCTGGGGGGTTGGTTCTGTATGGCCTGGATTCCTACCCGTGAGAAGGAGAACCCCCCTCCGCCCATATGAGTCACGTGCTCAAAACCGATTCGGGTAGATGAAGGTTAGTAAGGGGCAGTCCCAGCCAGAAATAGTTGCGGAATTCCGCCTTCTTAATTCTTGAAGCATGGTTCTGGGTAGACCATTTTAGTACCAGGTTTTGGTTGTGACTCATATGGGTTTGTCTCAAAAAACGGGGTCCCCGGAAATGGCGGTTTTCATTTTGTCTTCCCCTTTGGTGATACTGTGGATGGACGAAATCCGGTTCGCACCATGTAGGAAGCCCTGGAATGATGATTTCCTTGTAAATACCAACGAACAATGGTTTCCTCATGGTTTCAAAGTGGTGCGAAATGGATTTCGCAACCATCCACAGTAAGGCTGGTCGTTTTGGTTTTTCCTTTTAAGGTGAGAAGGGTACCCAACAAAAGTTGCAAACCCACCTGGGTTCGGAGCGTGACGGTATGGCCGGCGGTTTTCTTGGACGCAAAAAAACCGTCTCGAAAGGCCGGAAAACGTCGGGTTCCAGGAGGCTAGTTTTGGGTGCTGACTTTTTGACCGAGGTGGTCCAGCTACCGGATGCTTCACCCGGATAGTCCAGGGTAACCAATTTATCTGGGGGTTGCCATCTTTTTGACCCAGGTAGCCCGGGAAAACCGATTTGTTTGGGGGTTACCCTATTTTTAACCCAGGTAGCCCGGGCAACCCATTTTGGAGTTACAGCTATTTTTTCCCCCAGGCCAACCTTAAAAACTCAATTAGTCCAGGGCGACCGATTCCTGCGATTCAGAAACTACTCCCGGGCGCGATTCGGAAGCTATCTCGCCCGATTCAGAAACTCTTTCGCCCGATTCAGACACTATTTCGCCCGATTTAGAAACTATTTTAATTTGGACTGATTCAGAAGCGACTTTTGCCCGATTCAATCACTATTTCCGAATCCGACGCTTCTGTTTCCAAATCCGAAACTCCAAGTTGCCGAATCCGAAGTTGGAACCCAAGTTCCCGAATCCAACTTCTCAGTTTCCGAATCCGACATTGCCAGTCTTTTCGGATCCGACGCTTCAGTTTCCGAATCCAAGGTTCTAGTTTCCGAATGCGACTCTCCTAGTTTCCCAACCCGTCCTTTTAGTTTCCGAATCCGACAGGGCAACCCAAACGGGGGACCCCATGTTGGGCTACCCTATTTGACCCAGCGGTCCGGGGAATTCGTTTTGGGGTTATTCTATTTTTGACCCAGCCTTTGGGGTTAACCGCCCTATATTTGACCCAGGCGGCCCAGGGCAACCCATTTTGACGTTTCCCACCCTATTCTTGACACTGCCCTATTTTTGGCCTAAGGCAGGGAGTCCGGGGCAACTTGCTCACCTATTTGTGACAACCAGGTAGTCCAGGGCAACCGATTTTGGCCCTATTCTTGACCCAGGTCTTCGGCACCTGTGGGTTCTCTGGAGAACTGCGCCATCTCAGAAACCCCACACCGATGCAAACAAAATCGGCCCAGGGCGAGCTTTTTTTTTTTGGGAAGGAAGGCCTTTTCCCCGGCCTCCATGGTTTCAGCGCGGAAGTGTGTTTTTTGGACATGCTGTGGGATGGACAAAAAATCCTAGACCACCCGAGAATCCCTGGATCATGATTCCCCCGTAACTACCAACAAGCAGTGGTTTTCACGGCTTCTTGGGTGGTGCGAGAAGCGGATTTCGATTTCAACCATCCCCAGTACTGCCCCCAGGTGGTCGAACGGTTGCTGGCCCACCCCAAGTGCAACGTGAACGCCCTGGACGAGAAGCGGCGCACGCCCCTGAGCCTCGCGATGCTGGAGCAGAGGTACTCCAGCCAGCGCCGCGCTTGGCCGGATGCGACGGAAATAGGCGATTGGAGATATAGGAGGGGTTGAGGCTTGTTAAGGATTGGGAGGGTTGCAAGGGAAGGTTTACAATGGGAACCCCATGTCAATAAACCCAGGTTGATCAGGGGGTGTGCCGTTTTAGAGGGGGTCCATCACTTTTGGAGGGAACACCCCCTATTAATAAGCAGGGGTGCAGTAGTCAGCATTAGAGGTTTATCAAGGTTTCCAAATAGGTTGAGAAAGGTTTGCAAAAGTTTGTAAAAGTTCACTGTAGTGAGGTTTAAAGATTTATTAAAGTTTGACAGGTTAAAGGCTTATCAAGGTTTAACAGGTTGCCTAACCGGGCTCCGCCAAAGGACAATCATGTCCGATGTCGCAACCCTTTTGATAGAACTCTTTTTTTGGGTCTCCCAAACTGGCGCCTAAGTAATGTCACACGTGTCCATGACTCAATTTTGTTTGGGCCCCCCCCCCCCCCCCCTTCTATTTTGTGAGACCCGCATAGTGCACAGCATGTGGTTAGTATATGGCGACAACTTAGTCAATTCGGTGCCCTTCCCCTTTAAGTGCCCTCCTTTTGATCAGCAGCGTGTTTCAGGCAATGATGAATCACCACCTAAGAAACCTTGAAATGATGAATCCCCTGTAAATACTGGCAAGCAATTGGCTTCCCATGGTTTCAAAGTGGTGCGAAATGGATTTTGTCCATCCACAGTAAGTCCCTTTTCGAGTGCCTAGATAGCCAAGTTGCTGCTTTTTTCAGTCGCTGTTGCTGGTTTTTGGGGTAAAGTGCATGGGAAAAAAAAGCAACTGGCGATCCAGGTGGGTTTGATCTCTTTATAGCCAACGTAGATTGAGTTTACTTCTTTGGGGTGGTGTTTTTCATGGGACCTTTCCTGGCCAAAGACCATGAAAGCCACAGGTTTTGTTCAGGCTATGGGAACGTTGCGATCTCTAAAGAATGGAAGTGGAGGGTCCGTTGTTTCCCGGCTGGTCTGATCTTCACTGTTGTTGGCATGTTTTTCAGGTTCGTGTTGTTTTTGTTCTGTTCGTTTTTGGCCAGGGTCTGCAAAGATCCGAGGCAGTTGTTTGGGCGCAACCCCAAAATACCGAGCAAGGGTTTTAGGGAGTGTCGCAACGATTTGCGCGCGATCTCAGGTCGATTAAGGACGGCAAGGCGGAGGCTGCCGCCTTGCTGCGCAAGAGCGGGGGCCTGGGCCTCGGCGGACGTGTCAAAAGCGGAGTCTCGGTCCGCTTTTGCGCCGAAGAAAACGGCGTCGGGGCGAAAGCGACGGGCGCTACGGGATGGTCTTAAAATAGGGCACCCAACAAAGAAAGGCACGGCCTGGATCGCCAGTGGCCGTCTTTTTCCATGCACTTTGCCATCCAAAAACCGAGTGACTAAAAAAAGAAAGCAGCAACTTGGCTTTCTCGAAGTTTCCTGGTGGTGTCCCTTTAAACCACTTCACTTCAAAGGGCCCTGAACAAAAGGACCACAGTAGTCGACTTCAAAATAATTCGACTCCCTCGGAGTAATGGCCGGAAGCTCTCCCAGAAGGCTCCATGTTTGGTTTCTTCGACTTTTCTTCCTCCCACATTGCAGTTTCGGGGGGCCGACTGGCTTGTGGATTCGGCTCTGGGCTGTTGGCTTCGACTTTTCTTCCTCCGTTGCCCATGCACCTGACGCTTCAATGCTATGTTGGTGGGAGGAAGGGTACAGTGCGAGCGCGGTGGAAGAAATCGGGTGGTCGAGGCACAGAAAACCGAATCTCAGACTGTCCACTTCGTCTTTAAAAGGGCTGGCTTTTACCCCCTTTGGAGCGAGGGGGGCTGGATTTCTTAGCCTGGAGTCCTTCATCACCCGAAAAGGCCGCTAAGAAACTGAGGCCCTGGATTTCTTAGCGGACACTTCCCCGATGAGCAAGAATGCTCTCTTTATCGCACAAGTTTGCTAAGAAATTTCCCGACCCATCCAGGGGGGCTCAATTTCTTAGCTGCAAATGCAGTTGCAACCTACTTGGTTTGGCAAGCTCAGCCCCTCAATTTCTTATACAATGATTTCTTCTGCAGTGCTTGCGCTGTAGCTTGGTCTTGGGATCAGCCAACTGCTGGTTGATAAGCTCAGTTGCTGGAGGTGCTGGAGGTGCTGGCGGTGGCTCCCTTGGAACTAGTTGAAACAGGCGTCGGTGCGGATGTGCCAAGTAGTATGGAGAAAGAAGCTAGCGACGGTTCGACAAAAGGACCCTCTGTAAGTTCTGTTGAGATCCCAACTTGGCGCTTGTTGCGAGTTTCACGGCACAGGCATCAGTCTAGTCTGGGGGTCCAAAATGGTAACCGACATCGCTCTTTCTAGCCAGTCAGGAAATACTTTCGCCCGGAGCAACAATCAAAACCCAGGTAGATCAAGCATAGTTGCGAACAGTTTCGGGTGCGGACATTTGCGTAAATTCTTTATCGGTTTTGCCCAGGTGGGTCTGTCTTTTTTTGGGAGTATCGGAGTACCCATTTTGGTTGGGTGCAAAGGGAAACCAAGAGCCAACCGTTAACCAACCACTTGGAAGGCCCCCTCAAAACAGGAACCAACACCTTTTCAATTTGATCGATCCGATTTTGTGTTGTTGTTTTTTGATTATAAAAATAAAACTAAATAAATATGAACCACACCCAGGTAAGGGAAAGTCCGAACAAACCGACAAAGCAACGGGAGCTCCGATTGCGCCGATCTTCGGATTCGCGGAGCCGAGGGCGCCGGGTGGCGCTGTACCAGAAGGAGTACCCGCGTGACGCTCAGACTCCCGAGGGTGGACCCCAGGTAGGAGACTCCGTCCACTTGGATGGGTGTAAACGTCCCACAGACTAAAACCTAGACCAATCGCCCAAGCTGATTTAGGAACTGATCCCCTTGCAAAGCAGCTTTCGGATATTCGAGGAACCCTGTTTGGCCGTTTGTGTTGATGGATGTTCTGGCCCAAATCCGTAGCGTCTAGCGAGTCTAGTGCGGGCGCTTTGGCTTTGCGAGGTTCAGGTCGTGCTCTTCTTGTTCTATCGCCAGATCAATATGCAATGGGACCTAGGGGATTCCCCTTCTGGTGTCGGACCCCTCCCTAGGTCATAGCCCACTTACATGTTCCCCTAAGTGGGTTAACCTTATTATTTGGGAGCGAAACGCCCCAATTGGTTATCCACTTACTAACTTGGCCGAACATCCATCTACCTCGAAGATCTTTTCTGCGCTTGCAGAGGTCGGGGCCAGCGTGAGCGCGGCGCCGGAAATCCGAGGAAAAAAAACGGGTTCCTGGACTTCTTTGAAGGGTCCCCCATGGTACTGTGGATGGACGAAATCCTCCCTGGAATGATGATTCCCTTGTAAATACCGACCAACAATGGTTTCCCATGGTTTCAAAGTGGTGCGAAATGGATTTCGTCCATCCACAGTATGTCTTTTCTTTCTACGGGTGTTCCCGTTCGCTGGGCCTTCGCTGGGCCAAAAGGCCAAAAGGGCCACCAAAGGGCGCCAATAAGGGTGGGGCGCCCGAGAGAAAAAAAAAAAAAAAGACCTCCACCGTTGATTGCAATCCACCTCCGGGAAGTCCGTTTTTTGTTTTTTTCCCGTCGGGCCCGGAGCGCCGGTCAGCTTCGTTGGAAGCGCGAAGCGCTTCACGGCAAGCTGACGCGAATGCATTCTCCCTGTGTGCAGCCTGGAAGTGCGTGTCAGCTTGGAGAAAATCATCCTGCCAACCAGAAGCGGGGGTGTCCAAAGATGGGAATTGGATCTCATTGAGTTGCTTGGTTGGCTTCCTTTAAAGCAAAGGTGGACCGAAGAGGGACTTTCTGTTGACCTGCCCACTAGTCTGGGCAAAAACGCCCAAGGTTTGCAACCTCACGCATGGAACCCCAGAATCTGTGTGGGTATTCTTCCATAGTCCATGGAGACCGGGCATTGGAAGGTGAAGGTTATCGGGCGGTTCGAAGGTCCACTGTGTTGACACAAACCTAAAGCGGACATGTCGCTTAGTGTTTCAGGGTTGCTCCGAGTCTCATCTTTGAAGACAGAGAGGCTAGAAAATTGGGCTCGCCGATTTTTTTTTTCTGCCCTAGAAAAGACTTGCTGGTGCTCAGAAGGGAATGGCCTTCCGGGCGGAACGAACCGGTTTCGGTTGGATTCCCTGAAAGGAAACTGCAGGGAATGGTTTTCCTCGGGGTCATTTCATTTGGCTGTGGGTCAAAAATAGGTACCTAAAATGGCACCCTGGTAAATGGAAGCAATGACTAAAACCCCTGGTGGTTAATTTTGACTTATACCCGTTTCTCGTTCCCCACTGAGCACCAGCAAGAAAAACGGGGAACCCCTTTTTCGAAGTTCTTGGAGCAACCCTGGTCTTAGCGTGTGAGCGGGGCTTCAAAAGCCCGCGCGGGGCTTGTTTTTTTGCGCCCAAGTCGGGGACTCCTCTACAGGTGTTTTTGGTTTGTGTTTTATGCATTTTCTGCGTTTCGGGCCAAAGGAGGCTTTTTCCTTGCCCAAGAGGATTCGACCATCTTGGAATCTGACAATGCGAGATCCCACGAGTCGCCGATTTTTCACGCCTGGATTGCTCCGGAAAGCAAAGGGCGCCCGCAAAAGACCGTCCGCTGTCATCAGCATTCGAGGTCCCCCGCAACAGAAGGGTTCTTCCTAGATGGCCAAGTGGCGATCGCTTTTTTCAGTCACTGTTGCGATTGGTTTTGAGGTCAAGTGCATGGAAAAAAAGAAAAACAATCAGCAACTGGCGATCCAGGTTGGAGCCCGTTGGTGAGAGCCTCCAAGAGTTTTCAGCATCTTCCTGGTTGCGCAGCCGGGGGGCTTGGGGGGGCTTGGGTTGCTTCCCTTGAGTTTCGGACCTGCGGATGCGTTGGAAACCGCAAGTTCTCTTCCCACCTCCAAAAACGGATGCAGTAAAACTCGCAAGTGACTTGCCACTTTTGAAGGGGACAACAAGGGCTCAACGCCAGGAGGATCAGTTTGGCAGCGCCCAATGCCGTGGCACTTACGCCAAGGATAGGGATTGACATGAAGGCTTTCTCGGGGGGCGGTCAGAGAATTTGTGGACCCCTCAAATGGTGGCCTAGATAGCCAAGTTGCGATCGCTTTTTTTAGTCACTGTTGCGATCGACTGGCGATCCAGGGGCTTTCCTTTTCCTTCCTCCTCTACGACTTCAGGTTGGCAGAACCCCCAGCGTTAGCGCCGATAGGGCCCGGAGTGAAGTGAGCTTGATTTCGGCGGGACCAGGCCACTCTGATTCCCAAGCAAACCAGCCGGAACTTGCCGGTGCTCAGCAGGGAATGAGCGAATTGAATGACCCCTACGATGGTTCCCTTGGGAAACCGTAGGTTCATTCCCAACACCCGGAAGGTCGTTCCCTGCTGAGCACCGGCAAGCAGAGGAAACCCCTCATCCCCATCGCATCTCGCAGCCTTCGCCTCTATTGGGCTCAGACGCACCTGTGCGCGCACGCTCCGAAACGAATCGCTTCGAGTCGACGAGCAGGGTGCCGCGCCTTTCCGCGGATTGGATGGGTCAAGCGTGTGCTATGGGGACCGGTTCTTTCCCTTCACTGTCCTTGCATTTGTTCTTCTTTGTTCATTTTTCGGTTTGGGGGCTGCAACAAGCAGTCAGTTCTTTGCTAGCCAATACCAAGTGGGGAAGTTTCGCTTCTTTTGGAGGGTGGGTTGCTTGGGAATCATCGCACCCAACGAAGCAAAGGCCGCTTCGAACAGTTGGCCGTTTTTAGGGAGTCTATGGCCTTTGACTATCTTTGGTTGAGGTTGCACCCCCCTTTTTGGAAGAGGATCCTGACCCGTTTCGGGGATGAGTTTCTTTTTCGACATTTGGGTGTGGGTCAAAACTTCAACCAATAGGGGACCGACCGCAGGTTTTGGTGCATGTCCACTTACCAGGGTTCCATTTTGGGTACCTATTCTTGACCCATAGCCATTTCTTGGATGTTTCCGCCGAGCGATTCTCGCCAAGAGAGGCCGTGGCCGTTCACTCTCAGGGACACGGTAGCAATGACATGGGTCGGTCCTTCATTTTTGAGCCGGTACTCTTTTTTTTGGTCGTCTTAAGGAGACACCAGGCGGAGAACAGAATCCCATTCTGGATGGGTCCCTTAAGAAAAGAGACACCCAAATATCTAGGCGTACCTTCCCCATTCTTTCCAGGGATCCTTCTTTCTAGAAAACCTCCAGAAACCCAGGTTGAAAACGGATCCGGTTGTTGGAAAGAACGATGCTTGAAAAGAATGGACAAGGAATCAAACCCTAGAACCATGACTCTAGGTTACCATAGGTGGGTAATACTGTTAACCCCAGATTTGTTTAACACCCTGCTTAATCAAACCCTAGCGGATGCCGCAAGGCTTTGCAATGTCACGTTCGTATTTGTTTTTGCACGGCACCGTTCTGGTGGAGCAGCTTAAGCAAAGGATCCGTTTTGTCAGGCGTGGGACATGTTCACGTAAAAAAAAAGAAGCTGGGAGCCTTTGCCAGGGACGTTTTTTTTCTTCTTTTTTTCCCGGGGTGTTTTGGCTGTTCTCGGTTTCCTCGAGTGTAGGCCAATGGTCAGTAGCAAGGTTTTTGGGCATCTGACAGAAGTCAAACTGGGAGGTGAGCTATTTGCCTTGCGATCTGCAAGGTATGATTTAGCTGAAAGGTGCAAAACCGCAGCGCTGGACATAGCTTTTTGTGCTCAATTGTGTTTGCGTGTGCTTGTTTTTTTGAGGGTACTCTTTTCACACTGGCTTAAAGAGAGAACCAACAGGAGAATCAGCGGTCCCTCCTATTTCAACTCATACCCAATTTGCGTGGAGCCGAGGCAAGGAATTCAATGCCGAGGGCGCCCAAGACGGCAACCCAGAGCAAGCGGCCGCGGGGTGAGGAGAAGCAAAAGGACGCGATGAAAGAGGCGAAAGGCCAGCGAAAGGCGAACGGGCAGGCTCCTCGACGTCTTTGGGCAGCGGTGGTGGGGGGATTTCAGCGATTGGTTCATATGTACAAGAAGGAGAACAGAAAAGAAAACTGTGTGTGTGTGTGTGTGTGTGTGTGTGTGTGTGTGTGTGTGTGTGTGTGTGTGTGTGTGTGTGCGAGTGTGTATGTGTGAGGAAACATGTTACTAGGGGGGGAGACTCACACACATCTTCCCACGTTCTTCGGCGCGTACTTCGACAGGGGCTTGGCTAAAATGGCTGTGGGTCAAAACCAATGGTACCATTTTGGGGGTAGGTGCACCACCCATTTTAGTCTACTTGAGTGGGGATTGGGATGTTCACTGAGGGGTAACCGGGGTTTTGATCCTCGGCTAAAATATCGTCCGAGGCTTTGCCCCTGATCGGAGAGCTGGCGGGCGCCTGCGGCGCCTGGGCGGCGAATCCGAGTGGGGCACTACCCTTGGAGCAGATCCGCGAGTTGTCCCACAAGGAGGGGCGGTAGAAGATCCGTATGTTGTGTCGTTTTCAAACAAACAAAACAGGTTTCGGGGCTCAGGAAACGGACGGGGTTCCGATCGCTTGCAAGGGACGGTCCAGTTGCTCGAATCCATATGGCTTCAGGTAGAACCAGCCTTGAGCAATGGAGAGAAGGTAAAAACCCGGGAAAAGGTCACCAGCTTTGTAAGTAGTGTTGACCACATATGAGTTTCAACTATTGGTGTATGGGTGCTTCTCCCTGGGTGAAGTGTCGGGAATCAAACCACTTTTAGAGGGGAATGGGGTTAAGATTATGGCTATCTTGCTGCTGCGATACCTAGGGAATTCCGGGGATGGATGGCCTGTAGGGGTCATTCCATTTCTCACTCCCTGCTGAGAGCCAGCAAGCTATTTGTTATCGGATCTTTGGACATTGTCACTTCTTGGGAAGCGGCTTGGATTGGACCGGATCTTTGGAATTTGTCACTTCTTGGGAAGCGGCTTGGATTCGACCGGATCTTTGGAATTTGTCACTTCGGATGCGAGCCATTTCTTTAATCCGCTTTGTTTTTTGAGGGAGTGGTGCCCCTTGGAGAGCAACTATCAAACGAAGAGTGCCCTTTTTTGTATTTGGTCACATATATTTTTTCTTTTTACTTTCTGGTTCAGGTGGGATCTTCCAGAGGGGACACAAAAAGCGAGGGCTTTTTGCAGAGGTGTCAACAGCAGCTAAGTTACGGCTAATGGCTCTTGTCGTTTTTTGTTTTGTTTTTTTTTGTTGGCCAGTTTGCGGTCGATACTGTTGGGATTCCTTTTTTTTTTTTTTGGGGGGGGGGGCTGTTACTTTTTAAATTGGGGGAACCCTTTGCCGGGTCTTCTTTCTGGTACCACCATCAGGCAACCTGTAGTTGGATTTGCTGGGTGGCTTGGATTGATTTGAAGCATGCCCGAAAAACCACCCACCGATTCGGCTCCAAACCACCAACGTAGAACGAGTTCGTTCCTATCAAGATTGGCTGTGGCTCAAACATCCGTGGTGCCCGAAATGGCACCTTGGTAAATGGAACCAAAGACGAACCTCACTTTAGCTCTTTGATTTTGAGCCGCACCCAATGGTTATTTGAAGTTGTCCGATCAATCACAAAGGCGCCCCATGTCCTTGCCCACACTCGCATTCCAGTTCAACTCTATCACACAAAATCAAGGAGGGCGGAAGCTGACCCCGTGCCATCCAAAACAAAAATCCCCGGGGGGAAAGATGCATGCCACTAGTCATCTTAAAAGAAAGCCACTCCTTTTTTCCGCCATTTTCATGGCACCCGCAAGAGGTTTGTTTTTTTCTTGGCCCCTCCTTCCCCGGGCGGCGCGCCAGGCCTGGGAGGCCAAGATGGGCTCTTGGAGCAGCTCGACCGCGCCCGCCGCTCGGAAGGCAATGACGGGCTTCGGGGCTTGCCTGGAGCTCACGGGCGAGGTGGACCCCCCATTTTTTCTCCCTGCTCATGCTTATTTTTTGTTTGGGTGTGGAGTTTTTTTTTTTTTGCAGTACCAAAAAAGCCAGGGAGACTTCCATTTTTGATAGGGGTTTATGTTTTTTCCTGGGTTAAAAGGAACTCGTCAGGTTGGTTTGGATTGGTGATTTCAGCGGGCCGGCTGAGGGCACGTGGGAAAGGCCAAGCGAGCTACTACGGTCTTTGAGTGCTGGGCATTCCCCAAGCTCACGACAGTTTTTTTTTCTTTTTTTTTCGGGTAACCAACAAGCTCCAGCTGGTCACTCATTGAAATCCACGATAGCCCGCTCTGGCTCTCCTTTGTTTCTCTTGGAAAGCTGCGTATGTTGTGTCTTTTTCCAAAAAAAGACGCGTTTCGGGGGTCTGATCGCTTACAAGGGACTATTGATTTCGAGGCCCGTTTGCTCGAATCCATTTTTGCTGGCTTAAGGTAGAACCAGCCTTGAGCAATGAAGAGAAGGTAAAAACCGGGCAAACGCCAAGCTTTGTAATGTTGACCCCATATGAATTTCAACCAACCAGTTTATGAATAGGGGGGGTGCTTCTCCCTGGGTGAAATTGGGGAATCGGACCACTTGTGGAGGGGTTTTCCCCTACCCCCTATAAATATACTGGGGTTGATGAACGTACTGTGGATGGATGAAATCCATTTCGCACCACTTTGAAACCATGGTTGAAACCATATCGTTTGTTGGAATTTACAGGGGAATCGAATCATTTTAGGGTTTCTTAGATGGTGCGAATTGGATTTTGTCCACCCCCCTCCCCCCCTCCCCCCATCCCCCTCCCCCCATCCCCCCATCCCCCCCTCCCTCCCCCAACCCCCTCCCCCTCGCCCCCTTCCCCCCCTTCCCCCCCTTCCCTCCCCCTGTAAATACACAGGGGTTGATGCAAATATGGGGTCGACGTCGACCCGTAGCCCGAAGTTTCCATTGAGGTGAAGGATTTGGACATGGGTCCGCTCGAGGACGCCCTGCCCGCGGTCTTCAAGGCCCTGGAAAGGACCGGGAGGGGCCCAAAAAAGGCAAGGACCGCTTTTTTCTTTCTCTGAAGTTCAAAGGCTGTTTATAGGTCAATATTATTGGAGGTTGATCAAAAGGACCACTTAGGCAGTTCAAAGGCTGCTTGTACAGGTCCATCCACAGTATTATTGTTGGTCAAAAGGTCCTTTGCATGGGATGACTGTTGGGGGAAACCACAAAAAGAAAGACGCTATTTCCCACTAAATGGGAATGGCTGCTGGGGGCTTTTTTGGAGCTGATTTTCTATAATTAACCCATAGACTAGGGGTTCATACCGAATGTTCATATATGGAAGTAATACATTCTGCCAGTGGGGTGGATGACGCTGGACGGCTGGGACTCCTGCGGACGGAACAGATTCGTCGCGCTCGGCAGCTGAGAAAAACAAATGCCAGAAAATCATGGCTGGTTCCTCTTACCCCCCAGTGCCGCTCTGTTTTTGCGGGGGTATACGAAAAGGGGCACTGGTCTGACCAACTCCCAGCTTCATTTAGAGGATCCCCTTGTAAAGCAGGAGGTTTCTGGATATATCATATCTCCTGCAGCGCGTTTCAGTGTTTCAGGCAAGGTTTTTCTTGAACGAGCCGCGACTGTCCCCCGACTTTGGAGCGCACGTTTTCTCGACTGGCTTTCTTTCTTCGACGCGTTCAAGCATAGATCCGGGCCGTTTCCTTCCCAGCCCCATATTGGAGAGCAACAGGTTGCCTTAGAATGAGCACACCAAATGGGCCAAAATGGCGCCTCGGCCAATGGCACCAAAGGCTCTTTCTCCTGCGGTTTGCCCCAGTCGCCTACTTTTGAATGCCACACCCACTTTTGAGCTTTTGGAAAGGGCCAAAAGTTGGGTGGAGCCTTTCCATTGGCCCAAGCTGAGGCTGGTGGCAGATCAATTTTTCTTCTTGGCCGAGGCCCAGAAACTTGAGGCGCTTTTTGTTCACTCGGAGCACGAGGTCTTGCAAAAGGCTGAGCCCTCAAGTGGTGCATGTCCACTTGGCTTCCCTTTGAAGCCAACCAAAAAGGGGCACCCTAAAAACACCCAACAAGCACCAAAACCCCCCAAACGTGGTGCGTTTCCATTTGGCTTCCAACCAAAAAGGGGCACACTAAAAACAAGGCCACACCCAGTTGCCAAGAAAACCCACACGTCATTTCCCTGCAGCCAACGACTTCAGTGCCCCATCGCCTTTGAATACTGGTAAATTTAGACCGCCCCCGCCCCCAAAGCAAAAAAGAACAACCCATTCGCATGAGCAAAAAGAGTTGTTTGTAGAAGGACGAGCTTTTCCAGAACCATGACTGCGGCCCGATCGACAGCACGCCAGGACCTGCCTCGCCTCCGAGTCTGGCTCCCTTCGGGCGCAGAATGGCCTGGCGGGGCTGGCGCTGGCCGCTCTAGTGCTGGACCTGTCGGCGATGAGGCGAGGCTGTGACGCACGCGTCGAAGGTGCGACTGTGGTACTGTGGATGAAATCGAACTCCGCTTCTCGCACCTGAGAAACCACGGGGAGCCTGTGTTTGCTTGGTATTTACAAGTGGAATCGAATCAATTTCGGGTTTCTTCTGGTGCGAATTGGATTTCATCCATCACAGTAGCTCGAGATGAGCCTTCAATGCCCTTAGTTTCTCGGGTCCGTTGACAGCGAACGGGGTCGATAGGCCCGGATCGGCTCGGAGAAGGGGTGGTTTGGAGGCTTGCGGAGGGGTTCTAGAGGGCGGAGATCGACTGGGCTCCTTTTTTTTCTTCGCTTTATTCGGGCGGTGTTTTCAACCCAGAGACAAGGCCTCATTATTTGGGGCTTTTTCATATTTTTCCATTTTTTTTTTCCGGATGCCTTTCGGGAAGGCTTTCCGGTGGTGAGGTGGTGCCCCAAACCAGGACCAAGGGGTTCTCATGGAGCAGCCTTAGAACCAAAACAGGCCTGAGCTTATTCTCGGCTTATCCTGTGACCCGCACAGACCCCCAGGGCGAATGGGTGGCTTTTTTGAACCGGAATTCCCGAACGGGAATTCCCGGGAGCTAATTCCCATTTCCTAAAAAGGTGGTGACATCTAATGAGTCACCGGTGTAACCTATGCTTGAGTGTGTCTGGCGTCCGTTTCTGGTTTTAGCTTGCGACTTTTGTTGGTTTAGTTCTTGTCTTGAGTTGGAGCTGGACATGAAGCTCTTTTTTTTTGAATACATTTTCCAAACTTGTCATCCATGGGACTCAACCATTGTTGCTGGTGCTCCGTAGGGAATGACCTTCCGGGTTTGGAAATGAACCGGAAGGGGATTCCCTTAAAGGAAACCATAGGGCTCCCGCTGGGAACCAGCAAGTCAAGCATCCTCTTTTTGGCTTTCTTTTGAAAAAAAGGGTGCGTGCGAGCACTTAGCCAAAGCAAGAGCAAGGTTGGGCCATGTCTCCCTGTTTGCCAAGCAGTTTGACATGAGGAACTAGTGATTGTTGTTGCCTATCGTATCACCTCTTGACCCCTGTTCATTTTGTTCGGACCGGGAACGGGGCAGGCTATGAGCTACAAGCAGCTTTCCGAAAGTTGACATTGAACTAGGCTTGGCATGCTTGATCCAATGGCCGAAGAATCTCAAGGACGGGACCACCATGGTGGGTTGCAGCATTGGTTTGAGCAAACAATACAGAAGAGTCCCCTCGGGGAAACCGCAGGAAGGCGGTACACTGGTTTCGCATGGCGTCTCCGGGTACAGGAGCGGAATGTTCAAGCAACTATTGACAACGCCATAACCAACTGCATGTCTGATGCTGCTTTCCTATGGAGTGAGAATGCGGCTCGTTTCAACTATGCGGGAAACGGCCTGAAGGGAAGGTAGTCGACAACCCCACGCAACACACCCACACACAGGTGGGCGTGGCTCAAAATTAAACAGGGGGGGTTACGCAGGATTTGGTCCATGTTTCCACTTACCAGGGTTCCATTTGGGGTACCGGTTTTTTGAGCCACAGCCAGGTGGATGAATTATACACTCTGCGTTGTTTACTGTATTACTGTGTCGTGCAGGGGAATGTGAAAAAAAATGGGCCCCTTTCTTGGCATCCCCTTTGAGTAGCGGATCCAGAAACGGCAATATAGGCCTGTTTTTTTTTTTTTTGCAGGTACCCCTTGTTTGTGTGCACTTGTCACTCAGGTTCACTACAAATTCACTGATTTTCAGCTTGAAAGGACACCACGAAAGACGAATTCCTTATTCGGGAAATGTACCTAGGGTGTATTCCCAGGGTGTAATACAAAATCCTTAGAATTCAGCACCGCCCAAGAAACCCTGCAATGGATTCGATTCCCTTGTAAGTACCAACAAAGGTTATGGTTTCAACCATGGTTTCTTGGGTGCGAATTGGATTTCGTCCACAGTATTTCTTTGGCCCATGTGATCCGCGGAGGACCGCCCCGGAAGTTCAGCCTGGTGAAGAGGCCGTGGCCAAAGCCATGCCCCTCGGCTGATTTGGTCGCTTCCGGCTGAAATCAACCGATGGGTGGCTCGCTTCTTCTCCTTTTTCTTTTTCCGGGAGCCCCCTTGTGACTGAGCTATTCATTTCACACTCCGGTTTGCCTTGTGTGTGGTTCCAGAACACATGGGCTTCGAGCAGAAAAGAGCACAGGGTCCGTGTTGCATGGCTTTTGAGCCAAGAGGGGCAAGAGGTCCGAGAGCGGGCCCCCAATGGGTGGTACTGTGGATTTCCCACATATTGCAAAACCAAACCCTGGTAGAACGCCGAACACTAGCGAGTTGTTCTTCCTTTTTTTTCTTCCCCTTTCTTCTTTTTCTCTGGGCATCAACCGTACCGTCGGTTCAAAAGGACCCCGAAGCTCGCGAGGCTGCGGTTTCCAATTCTCATTTCGAGGCGCAGCCACAGGTAGTTCTTGCAAATAAAGAACTCGTTCTCACGCCTTGAGAGGTGGGGCAATTGTCATGCTAGTTGGAAGGGGAGGTTTCGGTAAGAGTCCAGTGCATTTCCAGAAAAATGGGCCTTGGAAGCTATGCGGGTTATGAAAATATCACTTGTGCAAGGGGTACATATGGCAACTGATGGCATCTAAGCCTCCTCGAAATGCTTGAAATGTACACCCCTCAAAAGGTCATAGCACCGTAGCTGACAAAGGCGCGTTATACCATGGAAGAACTCCCCTTCGCGCCTGATGGATGAAACCCCACCTGGGACTGGCTTCGTTTGGAAACACGGACCTTTGGGTAGGAATCGGAGGTCCTAAAATTTGCTGGTTCGATAGGCAGGGAATGAGAAATGAATGACCCCCCCAGGAAACAGCTATCCCACTGTGGATGGACGAATTCCTGCACCACTTTAAAGCCAGGACAAACGTTGGTATTTACAGGGAAATAATCATTCCAGGGCTTCTTTCATGGTGCGAACGGATTTCATCCATCCACAGTAGGGTTTCCGTTTTTTGGGGAATCCAACCAAAACCGGTGTCCTTCCCAGCCGGACTCGTCGTCATTCCTGCCCTCTTGGAGCTCGACGCCGGGTTGATCGATCCCAGGTCCTTCCTGTGGCACCAGGCGCGCTTCTTCCTGCCGGGGCGATTGGAGGCGAAGGCGAGACGTTTTCCTACGACAAGAGCTGGACCTGGGATTGGCGGAAGCCTAGGTGTCCATTGTGGTTGATTTGGTTTAAAGATATAAACCGGGCGATTCCTGGTTTACCGGGTGGTTCAAGCAACTAAAAGGGAAACTCGTCGATTTTCTCAACGAAAAAGGAGACCTATCTATGGGAAGGAGTGTCCCAAAGGACCTTGTGCCCAGTTGGGTGTCCTTTTGATCGGTTCGTTTTGGATAGAAATCGATGGGTAACGTGGTTTAGATGGGCCGCCAGGGAAAGCCATCCATTTTGCCAAAAGGACACCGATGCTTCCAGCCCTTCTATTAGATGAGACTGAGCAATTCCTGGGCTCCATGCAGAAGCGCCTCATAGCCCCCTCCTTCAAGGTCTATGATTTGAGACCGGGTCTCATGCACATAGGTGTCCTTTTTGGTTGTTTTGCTTGAAGAAATAGGTTGGGCGATTCTTGGTTTACCGGGGTTTGGGGGAGGGGGAGGGGACGGTTCTCCATGGAGGTGTCCTTTTAGGGGAAATAGATGGGTTTCCCTGGTAGATGATTAAGCCACTAAACCCTAAACCCTAAACCCCAAACCCTAAGCCCCCCCTTCAAGGCCTATGATCTGAGACACCCGGGTCTCCTGCCTCGCCATCTTCGGCCGCGTAGGCCTTCTCGGATGCCTCCACCCTGGCCCTCGCGCTGGCACGCGGCCTGCGATCTGTGCACCACGTCATGGCGCGGCGGAGCTACGCGGGGCACGCGCTGCCGGCGGCGGCTTGGCCCGGCGGAGCGTTGTTAAAGATCCCCAAGGAGGTGGATGAAAGGGGTTGCTGGTTGTGACCCTACTGGCAGGAGAGCAGGATTGGGCATGTTCGGTCCTTTTTGAGGGGAAACCAAAAGGAGGTTGTTGACACAGACAATTGAGTTGGACATGTTTACTCAACGGGGCTGCCGAACTCGAGTTTGCCCTCTGAATGTTGCAGGCAGTCATTTGCAGGAGGTTTCTTCTGTTGGATGGCTATGAGGGTCATCCCTGTCAATGCTGATCTGCCCTCCTTCTCAAAATAGAAAGGCCGCCACGAAATGCCGCAACAAGATGGGGAGTCGAACCGAAAAAAGGAGGGGGGCCTTCATTTTGACATACTAACACTGTGATTCAGATGTTGTGTTCATTCAGTTTGCCTTGAATTAAACGGGGCGCTCGGTCGTGGATTGGGTTGCAAGAGCGCTGAAGCCTAGCCTCACTTTGGGGAACGAGTCTCATCCGGAAGGCCTTCCGAGCGAGAAGTGGGTTGCCATGATCTAGCTGGATTCCCCCCCTTTAGGGGCGTTTGCAGCCAATGAAGTCGCATTTGGTGAGAGTTTGCCTTTGAATGTGGTGAGTGTAATCGGCGTCCTGGTTCAGATATCCCAAAGAGACCTTGGACAAGCTCGTTTTACCCCAACGCGACTGAAATTCCTGGGTTTCGAACGCTGAATTGATCATTGGAAAGACCATCTCCCGAATAGGGCCTTGAATCTCTTTTTTTGTTCTTTTTTCTTTTTCTCCCGCGTGGTTTGAACATCACCTTTTGCCAATTCAAAGATTTCGTTGGTTGTAGGGGAAATCCAGTTGGAACCCTGAATGATGGCCCTTTGGGACCTCGTTTCAAAGGTGGGCCAAATGAAGTAGGTACTTGGAATTCCAGGATCGAACTGGTTGATTCCGATTTAGCGGGGTGTTTGCAGGACTTAGGCTCACAAGGGGGGAAAGCACCTCGCCAGGTTTGTCCATCTGGGTTTCCATTCCCCCCCCAAACATGGGCGAGTGTTTGTTGAGGGTACCTGCTTTGGGTTCGTTCAATGGGAGAACCAAAAGGACAGCCAACGCCATTTTTGGGGTCCCTCAAAAACGACAAACCCAAATGTGCTGTGGGTTTTTCAACAGTCACGCTTGCTTGGGAGTAGAGATGGTCGTGGATCCTCAGGGAACCATGAACATCCAACGAAAAGAGAAGCCAAATGGGCCAACATGCTACTCCCCTGCAATCTACCTGGGTTGCTCGCCAAAAAGGGGTTATTCCGTCCCCCAACACACCCGGTTTGTTAGCCGCAAAAAACGTGGGTCCATTGTCTCCGCAAAGGAGAGCCCGTTTCCAAAAAGGACATGTTTTTTTTGCCGAGAAGTACCTGCTAGAGGGGGGGGGGGGGCTTTTTTTTCCGGTACCTGTTTATTTGCCTTATTTTTCTTAAAAAAGAAGAAGAAACAAACTATAAAAAACAGCAAACAACAAAAACTAACATCCAGAGGCCAGCTTGGTCCACAAGAGCGCGCCGCTGGCGGGCCAGTGTGCGGCTCTGGCCGCCGGCGGGGCCTCCACCCAGGCGCCGCGCGTGGGACGTTTCGGCCGAGCCTCAGGTCTCGAGCTCCTGGGCCTCAGTCACCCTTTCGGTCCCCCAGCGATTGGTGCCCTTTCTCATAAGGGTTTTGGGTTCCCCTACTAAGTAAAATAGACAAAGCTGAAAACAAATATCGGGTACCCTTATTGTAACCTCTCTACTGGAGGACCATTTCAGTGGTGAATAAGCAGTTTTTTTCTTTTTTTGTGCAGTCCACTTAGGTAGTGAGGATTAGGTGAAAGAGATGGTTGGGGACGCATCCTCTCTCGAAACTTGTTAGGGTTGTCGGGATGCAGATTCGACAGATGGTAGCCTTGGAAGCCTTTGTTTTTGTTTCCAAGTCAAGTTTGATAGCTTCAAGTTTTTGTTTCCAAGTTTTTGTTGTTGTTTCCAAGAGGTCTTGCGGGGCCTTGTTTTGTTTTCTTTTTGATAGCTTCACATCCAGCCCCTTTTTTCATGGGTTCCAAGTCTATGAGTTGCTGGTGCCCCCCCAAGCAAGCCCTTCCCCACCGTCTTTGAGAGGAGCCTTGGCCGTCGAGAGTCTCGAGAATGGTTCAGACCGAACAAGTCCTAAGTCAGATCCAAGGCAACTGGTTGTCTTCGAGGCGTCTGGCCGCGCAAAGCCGAAACAAAAAGACCGCCTTGGTGAGGCCGCGAAAAAAATCAGAGATCCCTTAGACGTCTTTTTGCTTGTCTGGTTTCTTGGCGGTCGGTTTAACGCAGGGCTCCTTAAAAGAGATTCATCTTGCGACCAGTTGAAACATGTTGCTTTTTCCACACCAAAATGAAGTTGGACACCACCATATACAAGTTGCAATGTTCAGGTGTTTTTCATGCATCCGGATCCCTGTTAACGGTTCGCAGCTCAGGCGGCCAAAGCTTTGGCAACGCTGGGAGATGCTGCTGGCGACTTGCTGGTGGCGCTGAGCGGCTGTGGCTGCGCCGCGGAAGAAAGCCAATCGCAGGAATTGCTCGCATCTATTTGCTGTGCGAGCGGTTCCACAGTTCGGGAGGGGTGGTTCGGGCACCCCCTAAGATGAAACCGAAGCTATTGCTCGCGGCCTGATCAAGGGACCCCTTTTTGGGAGCAACGGAAACTAGGGGAGGGGGGGTTGGATCGATCCAGCCGCATATTTTACAGCAGTTCCAACTGGGTGTGCGCCAAAAATCGCTGCCCAAAATGGAACCCTGGTAAATGGAACCAAGGACTCAAACCAGCTGTCCCTTTCCTGGTGTCTCAATTCTCACCCACTCCCAAGTCTTGCAATCAAGGATCCCCATTTGCAGGATGCAAAAAAAGAGGAACTACCGCAAATAAAAATGAGAAATCGATTTTCCACCGCAAAACCAGGGGCGCCTCAAGCAAAACAAGGGGCGTCTCACCGCATGGCCTCTCAGGCACGGAGGCGTCGATGCAGAGCTCCGCGGTGTCGGAGATGAGCCGGCTCTGCACGCAGGGTCCCATGCGCCCTTGGCTTCGGGGGAATGGATTCGGAGATATGTGGATGGCATATCTCGGATGAAGCAAGACACACACACACAAATTAATCAAACTCCGGCAAGATGAGAAAGTATTTGGAGTATTTTTGGGTGGAGGAGCCTCTTGCACCTCTCCTGGATGTGCTGCGCGGCATAGCGGTCCTCAAGCCGCTGTGGATGCTTAGCCCTGTGGTACTTGGATGTTCGATTCGCCAAATTGCGAAGTTGGATCGTTCCATTTGGGTTTTTTCACCCCCTAGTAACAAGGTTAACCCTGTGATAAACCCCAGTGAATGGGGGACTTAGTGGGTTATGACCTAGGTTACCAACAACTTACTAACTTGGCCGAACTCCCAAGTGCTGTGAATGAATTCCTCTTGTATATAGATGAGTTCCTTTTGGGCCACTTGTAATTGTAGATGAGTTCCTCGAGTGTCGTTCAACAAGGAAATACTGTGGATGGGAGCGAAATCCATCCGTTTCGCACCACCGTTCAGACACCGAAAGGAATGATCTGATTCCCCAACGCAAATGCCATCAACCGTGATGGTTTCAAGCATGGCCTCTGAACGGTGTTGCGAAATGGATTTCACAACGGTAAGGGCACCCCTTGCAAAGGGCACTCGATACGTCGCCAACTTGCAAAACTGGACAGAAGCCAACCACCTGGATGTGCCAAACTCTTCCACACACACACACACAAAATCGGGGGAGTCTCAAAATGATGGCTTTTCTATTCGGTCCCCCCTTCAACAAGTCGCCTGGAACGGGCCCCCTTGAACAACCGACGAGCGGAGCGCGCCGAACCGGAGGTACCGGGGCTGCTCCAGCGGCTCCCTGCTGGCGCTGCTGCTGCGGAGCGTGGCGGCGCAGCTGCTGCCGCTGAAGATCCACAGCAAAGCGCCCAAGGAGAAGCCTTCGAAAACTGTGGGGGGGTGGGGGCGTGGGGGGCGGGAAACGAGGGGGGGGGGGGAAAGGGGGGGAGATTTTGATGCCCCAAAACTTCGGTTCGTTCTCAAAGGGGTGACTTCGATCAAGTCGGAAAAACTGGGGGGTTGTCAAAGTCGGAAACTGGGGGGGTTATCAAAGTCATAAAAAACTGGGGGGTTATCAAAGTCGGAAAGGGGGGGGATCAATTTTTGCTTCAGTTGCTATTGGGTGATCAAAGGCAGACACTGGTTGGCGGTTTCCCTTTGCCACTGAACTGGGGGTGACTTTGATCTTAGTAAGATCTTGGGGCCAGCCAAATGGAGTGTGTCTCTGTGCCGAGTTCGCGGCCGTGGAAGTTGGTTGATATAGATTTATACAGATCCTCAATTTGGTTCTTTGGGGTGGTTTGGGAATGGTTGAAATGATTCTTTTGATACAGCAGATGGGGCCCAAAAGAAAACCCTTGGATGGGTGAGGTTCTCAGGTCTTTTTTTTTTCCCGGAATTAGTAATGATTCTATTCATTGGCGTTCGGGGTTCGGGTTTCAGCCTGGGATGGTGCAGCTTTTGATGGGATGGCGGGCGCTTTTGATGCAGTTCCCTTCTTTTCTTGGGCAACGCAGAAAGCCAAGCAGCTTGTGAGTAGGGATGATGGCTGGAACTTGGCCTTTGAGCTTTCAAGACGATCTTCTTGGATATATGCAGTTTGGTGATTGCTTCCAATACTTTTTGGTCAATTTAAATAAGCAACAGCAGAGAAATCACACAACCAAAAACATAATTCAGGGGACTCACTCAACTTACCATTCTTCTTGGTTGACTTTGACTCTGAATCCTGTCTGGATTTGCCAATTAAGAGCAGTAGTTCATTCCTCTTTAGGACGAGCTCCCCAAAAATATGGATGAAAGAGTCTGATCCCTGAAAGAGTCTGATCCCTCCCTATTCTCCCAGAACCAAGTCAAGGCACAAAAGGATCCCATGATCCTCCCTATCACAGAAGCTGACAGGAAGGTGTGGGAAGAGTACTTTCGGGCAGTTCCCCAGTCTCGTGCAAAAAACACAGGAACTGTTCTTTTTGCCCTCTGTGCAGCATGGGTGCAAGACCTTTTTGGACGTTTCAAGGTGTGCCGTTGATCCGGACTGAGATGGGGTCGTTAATCGATTCAAAGCCATAGCAATGGGACGAGTTGCAGAGTGACTAGGAGCCATTGAAGGACCATCTTTCAGGCCACAACCTTCCCACGGCCTTGTTTTTTGCGAGGCGGCTTTGAATCAGATGGGTATCTTTTTTGATGCTATCCTTTTGCTGGTTCTCAGTGGCGAATCATTGAATGCAACTGGTGGGTTTTTTTGGGTTGAGGGTCATCACCTCATTGCCTGAGAGCTAGCAAGTTCTTTGGGGTGTTTCACAAGAAATCCAACGGGCTAAACCAATTAGCTGTACCCATGAACAAACAACTTTTTGTTTTCAACAACCCCACGCTAGTGCCTTAGCCGCATTCAGGGCGTTTTAAAGTCTTGTTCTACAAGGAGCCATCACCACCACAAATTTGTTTTTTCCCCCTTTCCCTTGAGGTTTCCCCCGGGTTTCTCCCTGTTTTTCTTCCCACCCGGTTTCCGCCCTTTTGTTTTCCCCCCCGTTGTCCCGGGTGTCCAACGGGGGGAGGCGATGTTGCGGGCCGCAGGAGCTGCAGATCCTCTGCCGGGACCACCTGGCGCGCTCGGAGGCGCGGGCGAGCGCCCTGTGCGCGGCGCTGGTGCAGCACGGCCTGCTGGAGGCGGAGAGGAAGGACCAGGTGCAGCTGCTGGCGCCTTGGCGCCATAGGTGTCCTTTTTGGTTGGTTTGCCTAAAAAATAGAGGGCCCTGGTTTAGATGGGGTTTATTCCATTTACCAGGGCCATCTATTTGTCCAGCCGGCCGGCTATGGACATAAATCTGGCCAGCAAGGGTACCCGCAAAGGAAGACACACACACACACATCATACAGTAACCAGCTACAGTCATTTGTGCAGAATTTCGGCGAACCATTTACCAAGCGACAAATTCTGGTAGGATTTCCTGTAGATCTTTTTGTGTTTGGTTTTAGAACATATCGAAATGAAGACTCGCGTTGATCCTGGGTTCAAGTAGAGACTTTGCGGATTCATAGGAGGAGTGCAAGTCGGATTCGTTTGTGTTGCTAAAAGGGATGTAGACTCGCGGTTTTTGTGCCCTAGAAAAGGGGACCCACCCCTCAAATGGGTATCAGGCAAAAGTCAAAAGTTAATCGCTAGGATGTGAACGGCAGGATTTCGTCCTTGTTTCAATTTACCAGGGCAGCCTATTTTGGGGTTACCCTATTTTTGACCCACACCCAATTAAGCTCTCTTGAAAGAGAAGCCTTTTTCACAGATTTCAGTCATGCACGTCCCTTCCGTTTCTATCCCGCACATCGGTGTGCTGAAGCTTGTCTTTGTGTCTCCCCATCTTGTTTTTGAACAATGTGTTCAGCATGCTGCACTCAGAGCATAGGTCTTACTCAGGTCATGGCCCTGAAAAGGGACAGCTTCTTGAGTACAAATGTGGTTGCTGCGCCGCAATGACCAAGCCACCTTTGGAAATGACTCCTGCTGGACACTGATAACACCATTTGCGAAGAGTGGATAGAACATCATTTTGGATAGAATATGGACGTGTCCTTTTTGGAGGGTCCTTTTTGGTTGGTTTTAACGGGAAACCCAAAGGACACCGTTGCCATTTGTTGGATTTTCTTCTGTGGATGGTTGAGAAGCCCATCTTGCACCACTTTTCAGAAATCCGCAGGTTTTCCCCAACGTAACTGCCAACCAAGGTTCTTGGTTTCAAGCATGATTTCTTAAGTGGTGCGAAACTGTGTCCATCCATTATGGTTTTAATCCCATGATTTCTGACCGGTGGTGCGATTCTTTGGATTTCGCAGCCTTCCGCAGTAAGAGACACACCCCCATAGGTGTCCTTTTTTGTTCATTTGGTTGAAGCATATTTCGGGCGATTCCTGGTTTACCTGGTGGTTCAATCAACCAGGGAAACTCATCTCTTTTCAACCAAAAAGGACACCTATGATTGCAACCATACTGGGGATGGGCGAAATCAAAGTCACCATCCAGGGTATGACGATTCCACTGTAAGTACCAACAAACAAGGGGATCGTGACCTCATGTTTAAAGGGTCAGGAGACTCCAGGAGACCCTATGCACACCCCGCGTCGACCCTAGCAACGTTGCGGGCCACGTGTTTCTCGACGTACGGAAAGCTGAGGTGCAGCAGCTCGTCGCACTGTGCCAGGCGGGTGGGCACTTGGGCGATGTTTTTTTGGGTCCTGAGATGGGTGGCTCGGCTTTTTTGTTTTGGCCCCGGCAAAAATTGTCGCTTTTTGCTGTTTTGCTTTTTTCGTCTTTCTTTGGACCCGCCAAAATGGGTGCTTTTTTGGATTTTGCTTTGAGGGATTCCCTTGAAATCCACAAAAAGGGGTGGTCCTGTGGGTTTGTGGTGCTTTTTTTTGGAGGGTCACTGTTTTGAATGGCTGTCACAGGGAGACGAAAAGGAAAGCCATCATTTTGGAGTCGTTCGAATTTTAAGAGTTGGAACCATCTCCCAAAGTGGTTGGTACACATGAATCCCCACCAAAATGACGTTCCCTACCACTCATGAAGCGGAAAAAAAGGAGAAAAAAGCTGAGCCCGGAAAAGTTTGTTCCAAGCCAATTGGATGGTTGGAGAACATGCAAGGGTGCTCAGAAACTGAACCACGGTTTTGGTGTGAGCGTGCTTAGCTGAGGTTCTTTGATCCAAACCAAGGGAACATGAGGTGTCCCTTTTTGGTTGGTTTTGGCCAAAGAGTAGATGGCGTTTCGATTCCCGCTCATCTACCGGGGAAGCCCCCATCTATTTCCCCCAGAAGGACATTTATGGCCATGCGGAGAGTTCGAGTGTGGCTGTTGGTAGCCATCTCACTCCCCGAGTTTGTGGACTTTGCACTTTCTGGAAAGGCCGTTGGCTAGAAACACAAAGTGCGGGAAGCCGGATGTGGTAGAAAACTAGGTACCATCCCCAAGTAGCCCCTGTTTTCCAGCTTTGGTCCATGTTCCCATTTTGGTACCTTCTTGTTTTTTGAGCCACAGCCAGGTGGGAAGCCGCTCGACGTGTTCCGCCCGGGTGTTTTTCGCAGGACCCGCGGTGGGCCGCCGCGCCGCTGCTGTGCCGCAGGCTGGCGCTGGCGCTCTTCCGGGTGGCCGGGGCGTCTCGGGCCGTGGAGCTGGACGGGGCCGAGGGAGCCGGGGCCGAGGGCGGGGGGCCCGTGGGGTGGCGCCCGTGCGGAGTTTTGGGGTCAACGCCCCGTGGCTTGAACCCAACCAAAACTAAACGGTGTACATGGCAAACCCGAAAAATCTCACAGAGCTTTGGAGAATGATTGTGGAGGTGTCAGTTCTTTTTTGAGGGTCCCATTTTGTTGGTTGGTTTTAAAGAGGGGTGGCCCCGATTTAGAGGAAGCCGTTCTAACGATTTTGGGGTTTCCGAAGACTTGGCAGAGAGATAGAGAGATAGAGAGATAGATAGATAGATAGATAGATAGATAGATAGATAGGTAGGTAGGTAGGTAGGTAGATAGGTTGTAGATAGATAGCAACATGGATAGATAGACAGATAGATAGGTAGGTAGCTAGACAGACAGCTAGATAGATAGATGGATAGATAGATAGATACATAAAGAGAGAACCATAGACGGAAACAGAAGAGAGAGGGCAAGAGAAAGTCAGAGAAAGAGACAAGGAAAAACAGAGAAGAGACAGAGAAAGACAATGAGAAGAGAGAGAGAGAGAGAGAGCAAAAAGAGAAAGATACTGAAGAGAAAGAGAAAGATCAAGAGAGAAGGAAAGAGAAGAGGAATCGCAAGATAAAGAGAAAGAGAAAGAGCAAGAGAACACAGAAGAGGGGAAACAAGAGAAAGAGAAAGACAACTCAACTTTCTATATTTTTGAAATTTCCGCCAGCCTACTGGTACAAAAAGCAGACAGTTAACAAACTCAATGAACAGACCAACATTTGAAACAAAGTACGCATATATCAAGGTTATTGGCATCTACATATGGGTGTGTCTTTTTTTGATGGTACCGTTCTTGGGTGTGGTTTGAAGGGAAGCCAAAAGGAACACCTCCCATGTTTGAGCATCCCCTTTAAAAAATATCACACCCATTTTTCTACCAAACGCGTTTTCGCGTTTTCCGTGTGCGCTCTCTGAGATCCGTGAGGACTGCGCTCAGCGCGAAGAGGCCACCAAGCTCTTGGCCTCCGTGGCAGGGGCGCTCTGTGCGCAGCGCGCCGGGAGCTCGGAGCCGGTGGACGTGGCGCCGCTGAAGCGGTGGGCGGGAGAAGGCTCGGGATGCGCCATCGCGCCATGAAGCTGCGTGGATGCCGCTGCCTGGGTGTGTACATACACCTACATATATATATATATGTACATATATACATATATATATATATATGTATCTTTTTTAAATCTGTTTTTTGGGGGCAATGTTAACCCAGGATTTTTCGAACACCCCAAGTTAATCTTTAGGGGGGGTTGTTGTTTTTGGAGGGTAATGTTAGCAGGATTGTTAGAAGCCCCCATTTAGTAGTAGGGGTGTCCCTGGTTTTCGTGGGGTTGTATATTACTTTTGAAAAGGAAGGCCGTCATATGAATAGTCAGGGTGGGGTCAACATTACCCTATTGACCTTGGTTTAAAGGGAAACTAGAAACGGAAACCACCACTCTTGGGGGTCCCCCCTATTTTGACACACACGGCACTTTTCCCTGCAGGGCGACTGGGAATGGTGCCAATTCAGAGCCATAAGGGCGGCCATGTCCTATGGCCCTTTCTATTGCTCTGGATCAGCATATCTAGAACTGGGCCTGTCCAGGAGTCTTCAAGAAATATGAAAGATTCTCAGCGGTACTCTGAAGATTGCAATGTTAGTTGGAGCCTGGATGGATTGTGTGCCGGACATATCGGACCGACTGTAAATTCAGCAGACTTCCCTTTTTTGGGAAACAGGCAGAAAGCAAATAAACGCGCACACACACACAAACAGAACTTTGAGGGCGATGTTACTGGGTCAAATGCGTGTTGCGGCGGGTTTTGCCATGGCTTTTCAATGATGACGGGAGCAACAAGACTCAGGTATGGCAGTTCCATGCATGCCGAGTCCGACATGCTTATTTCACCAGTGTTTCGGACAGTCCTACAAGCCAACATGTGATTGCTCAGAAGCCTTCAGCGTATCGAGTTCAGATGGTAGACTATTCCTTCTGAACATGCGTGTGCTCCATTGCATGCGTTCGATTGGCCTGTTGGGTATGTGTCAAGATGGGGGAACCCGTAGCATGGTCGGTTTGCTTTTTGGACGATTTTTTCTTAAACCAAGGTGGGCACCTTCAAACAGGGACATGTTGGTCATTTTCGTTTCTCTTCAAACCAAGGTGAACAGAGAGCCCTCAAAAAGAAAAACGATACCAATTCAATTTGGTGGGTTTGGTCCTGGAAAGACACCAAGAGAAAAGAAGGGGAACACACGGTGGATGTGCCTGCCATATTGCAAGAAGGGAACAAAGGAAACTCGCAATCCATGGGCTTTGGTGGTTGGTTTATTTGCAATCTTTGAGACATGCAGCGTAATCCCTCCAATAGGTCCATCCTTGAGAACCTTCTCCCCCGCCTTCAGGCGAATCCCCTCCACCCCCTCAAGGAAACCCGAACGAACATTATCCATGTTGTTTTTTCCTTAATGAGGGTTCCGTAGGGGATCCACCTCCAATCCCTTCCCCCCCCCCGCTTCAGGCGAATCCTCCTCCTCCCCCCGCCCTTGCAAATACCAACAAACAATGGCTTCGTTTTCAAAGTGGTGCGAAATGGATTTCGCAACCATCCACAGCACCTCCATCCTTTCCGCTTCAGGCGAGATCCCCTCCCCTCCGCTTCCTCCCCCTCCCCTCCGCTTCCTCCCCCCCCCTCCCCCATCCCCCCCTAACCCTCCCCCATCCCCCCCTAACCCTCCCCCCCTCCCCCCCGTTCTGCTTCCTTCAGGCGGCCAGCTGGGCGCTTTGACCCGGTTCCTGGCCTCCGACTCGGCGGCCTCCTCGGCCTCCGCGCTGCGCGCGCCGGCGGGGGAGCTGCAGAGCTCCGCCGTCCCGGCCGGCAGCGGCTGGTGCAACGCCCGGGGCCGCAGAAGTCGGGGCGATTTCGGGCGACCACTTCGCGCCGGTTTTTACTTATTCCTTTTTAGTTGTAACATGTATTTTTAATTTCATTTGTTTTGTGGTTTTCAGTTTATTCTTATTTTCTAGTTGTTTTTCCCCGGATGTTTTTTTCGCTTTTCCGATTTGGGCCATGTCAGTAGGTGGTTCTAGAGGTTTGATTGGCAGCGCAGAAAAGGCCCTTAAACAACAAGGACAAGTGCTAGCCATTTTAGAACAAGAAGTCCATGTATAAATCTAGCGCCTGGTTTCATGGGGTTATCGCAAGGCCCAGATAGTCAACAGGGATTCGCTCAATTTCTTCTGGGGGTGGTAGGATGTCACTTCAACGGACCCAGCAATTGGAAGGCGTGATGAAAATTGGATAACATAAATGGACCATGGCTTGCGAAGCAGAAACAAATAAGAATCCATGGAGGGGGTTAAGGGGATTCAGCCTTCTTGCTCAAACATGCTTCAGCGCCACTTGTTCAATCAACCTTTTGGTCCCCTCATGGGGGGTATCGCCTGGTTGTTTCCGATTTTGATATGCTTGGAGTTGGTCGCGGGTTTTCCCCTGTATGACAAAGCCGCACTTGCCCCCTGTCCCCCCCCCACTCACCACCCAAACACGGGCTTCCAGGCTCGCCACTCCCCGCCGCCGGGTCGAACCTTCAGGCCGCGGCCCTGCTCTGCTTCGCCGCCGAGCCCAGGGAGAAAGCCGCCAAGGGCAAGGCGGAGGGGGGGGGGGAGGGGGGAGGGGGAGGGGGGTGGATACCATGGATCAGCCCCAACCTCAACCTCAACCTCACACCCCAACCTCAACCCCAACCTCAACCCCAACCTGAACACCAACCTGAACCCCAACCTGAACCTCAACCTCAACCTCGCACCCCACCAAAAAAAAGCAGAGGACCTCCTACTGTGGATGGCGACGCGAAATCCGAAAAAGAAAGAAGTCCCACCTGTCAGAAACTTCACAGGAATGAGATGCGATTCCCCAACGTCAATACCCAACAAACAATATGGGTATGGGTCAAAGTTTGACCAACCGCAGGATTTAGTCCTTTGTTTCATTTACCAGGATCCCATGTTGGGTACCTTTTTTTGGACCCACAGCCATATGGTTTCAAGCATGGTCTTCGTGGTGCGAGACTCGCGGTTTTCGCAACCATCGGCCGGAGTCTACATTCCTTGAGCTTCTATGAAACGAGGTCTGTCTTTTTTGCGGTTGCCAGGTACCGTCTTTTTGTGGGTTTTAAAGGGACACCAAGAGGACTATTTATATCTATGTATGTATATATATATATATGGTACCTCCCCCCAAAAAAGGTTTTGTCTGAAAACACTGGTATTTGCGGTGTTGTCTGGACAACAACCTGCATCTGCCAGAACACTCATTTTTCAGGCCATCTTTCTGCATAGCCTCATCTGCCAGAACCAGCCCATACTGCAACCAAGCACTATGCTGGCATAAGGGCATCTATTCAAGGAAAATACCCAGGAAAACTTGAAAAAACAGAAAAACAACTGCAAACAAATGGAACAACAACACTGAATAAACACTGAACACATGAAACAAATGAAACAAAACTGAAACATGAAAAAACAACAAAGCACTGAACAATGAAAACAACTTAAAAACCAAGGATTTGGGGGGACATGGCGGGGGGGGGGGGGGCAGCCCTCATGTCCCTCATTTTCTTCTTCAGCTTTTTTCAGTTTTCCTGGGCATTTGGGCAGAACCGAGCGTTCCAGTGCTTCCTTGCTCCTTTGTTGCCCTTGTTCTGATCCTGTCCTAGCATGGCCAAGGCCTCCAGCTCTGCTGGAGTATACCTGGTAGACAGAGAGAGAGGGGCAGTCATAGCGAGAAAGTTAGAGATTTTGCTATGTAGATAGAGGGAGAGAGTGAGAGAGAGAGAGAGAGAGAGAAGGAGTGATAGCTGCAAAGGAGACCACAAGGGGGATTGCAAGGATTAGGGATTGGTTTTGATCACCAGTTTGTTTAAAGGAAACGCCCCACAAGGCGACTCCCCTGCGACTGTTGAATTGCTTTCTAAGCAAAACTTCCAAGACTTCAAATTTGTCGATAGCCATGGCCCAGTTGATTCCTACTACTTGTCAGATCACCGCTGCAGGGCGTTGTTAGGCATCATGCAGGCACGCTGCACTGACATGGCTGAAACCATCGACCATTTCAGCCAGCGTGCCAAAGAGTACGACGCTTGCAACCAGTTCATCGGGAGATACTCCATCTTTAACTCTCCCACCGCCTGCGCTAAATCTCTGCGCACGCACTTGCCTGCCCTCGAAGCAGGCCCAATGTTTATGCTTCCCAGATGCTCTTTTAGGGGCGCTACACTCTGCCGAAGACGCCGCGCACCAACATCGACGCTGAAAAAAGTTGTCGGACGCCCTGCTAAAGGCTTTGGAGGCGCGATTGGCCGTTTGGAGCAGGCAATTGGATCGCGAGGCATTCCTCCGCAGGAATGGGAGTCTGGCACGAAAATGAAGAGCGGAACAGCGGAACATGTTTCTGGCAGCAGCCCGCTTCATCTCGTGCGAAGACGTCGGCGTTGCAGACTCTACGCCGGCCGAGAGTCAGACAGAAGCAATTTCGGGCGCTGGCCCTTCGGGAAAAGGCCTGCGTTCCAGCAGATCTTCAGCGCTTTCTCCACACCTACAACGTTCCCAGCCTAGATGCGCTTTATGGGAGCATCCGGGGCCTGGCCCGCCGCTGGAGTCCTTTCTCTTTGCAAGGAGGATGTGGACCGGGCGGCCTGAGATCGCCGAGAGCTACTACAGCAGGACCAAGTCCCAGGCGTTGGGAGGGGCGGTCGCCGTGCATTTGCGCAAGAGAGTGACGCAGGCGGAGCGAGAGGCGCGCCGCGCAACCACAACCTTGTTGCGCCCTTGTCCGCGGATGGCACTCGTATCCTGGAAGCCCCGCAAGGCGGCCCAAGCCTCTGAAGATTGAAGAGGACAGTTTGTCTGGAAGAATGTCTCCGTTGTGTTGGCGACCTGCCCCCAGGCGCACGGAGAGCATGCCTTGGGCGTGCGAGCTGCTGTTTGCGGAGACTTGGGTTGGGGCAGGCTCCGATTTCCGCCGAACCGAATGCGGTTTGTTGGGCCACTGGCAAAGTGGTTTCGGCGGAGAACGCAGACGTCGACTCATCCCTGGATTGCACCAACTCATGTAGATAGAGAGAGAGAGAGATAGTTATAGCATAAACAGTTTTGTTTTTATAGATAGGTGGCCAAGCGGAACAAAAGGGTAGTTATTCATAAGCACAGAGGTAGGTATGAAGATAGAGAGAGAGAGACAGAGAGGGAGAGTGGTAGTTAAACAGATGTATAGTTACACATAGGGAGATTTTGTTTTTGAGAGACGGGGGCACTTGAGAGGGAGAGTGGCAGTTACACAGAAAGAGATACAGTTATACAGAGACAGGGGCAATTATACAGATAGGGCTAGGGATCTAGGTCCAGGTATGAAGGTAGAGAGAGAAAGAGTGCAGTGTTTTCGGCCTTTTTTGAGGGCTATGGGGAAAACAGCAAAAAGGACGCGTGTCCAAAGACAATGTGCAAGCTTTAGGCAATGGCCCAAAAGTGAAAACGTAAAGAATGACCCACACGTAAACAAGTAAAAAGTAAGAATCTGGAGCCACTGGCCCAAACGTAAAGAAGCAAAAAGTAGTAAAAATAGAAAGCAAAATGTTTCAGCCCATGGTCAAACATTTTACTTCAGGACAATAGGCTGCATTGTTTTACTTCTTTTTTGTTTCACCTTTTCATTTTGTAAAAACCTTTTCAGTTTTTTTCTTTTACTCTTTTGTTTTTTGGCTCGTTGCTTTTTAATTATCCATTTTTTTAAACTTTGGGGCCCTGGCTCCAGAAACTTACTCTTGACTTGTGGGTCAATGGCTCCAGATTTGTTTTTTCAACATTTTGGGCCATTGGCCCCAGAACTTCGCACTTTACTTTTGACCTACTAGCGCCATAATTGAAGTTTTGTTTGATTTTGGAAGTGTTCACTTCTGGGTCATTGACTCCAACATAGCTGCTGTTATGCATCTGGCCAAACCTCAGCTTGGAATGGACAGGCTTAGGGTGTAGGATTTTGGGTTTGACTCGCAGCTGCAGGACTCGGATTTATTCTTTGTAACCATTCTTTTTGTTCAACCAGGCTCACTGTGTTCTATTGTTTTTTGCTTGGAATTCAGAGTATTCGCGTAAGGATAAGAATATAACAAGGCAATTAGAATTCCTGTTTCAAAACCTATTTGACAGATCATTTTAAAGGGGGGATCTTTGCCTAGGATTGTGTTTGTTCAATTGTCTAACTAGAATTGAAATGGAGTTGAAGAAGGAACAAACCCCACTAAGAGTTTCTAGGTTAAAGGTACAAGCGGAGGGTGGCTTTTGTCACCCTGGGATGCCGGGAGGGAAGCAAGGGTTAGGCCGCAGCGTGCTGCAGGTTGCTCCTCGCGCTCTCTGTTTGTCTCTCTCTCCGGCTCTCTATCTCTCACCGTTTCTAGTTTAACGGTAATTCAAATAGGATTTCCTGGTCGAACAAGATTTGTAATCAACATTCTTATTTGAAACTAGTTGTTCAATCGGGTTGATTTTTGTCATAGTGTTAATAGAGTTGAATAAAGACATAATCCAGCAGAATTTCTAGTTTTAAAGATATTTTACATAGGTGTTCCTAGAAGCCTGTTTTAATCATTGGAATGCTTATGTAAAATTAGATGTTTAAAAGGATGTCTTTTTCCAAGATGATTTGTTCAATTTTCCAGTTGGGATTGAACCAGAAACAAAAAGTGAACAACGCGTAATACAGTTTCTAGACAAAGATGGTTTGACTATGATGTCCATTTTGAAGATCACTGTTAATACGGATTCAAAATTTAATTTACAGAGAACTTCCTTTTCCCGGGAAATTGTTTCTCCACTTTGAATTTATTTAGAATTGAATGTAATCTATCTGATGGAATTTCTGACTTTGAAGACAAGTTAAATAAGATTTCCTTTGTAACAAAACACATAACTGGAGCTGTTTGTCCAAGTTAGATTTTGAAGATAATGTCCTTGCTTAGGGTGAGCTGGTGCTGGTCAAGTCGCATGGGGCACTCCAAATAAAACAGCTGCATTCCATCTCCGAAAATGCCTTCAAATAGCAAAGCGGTGGATCCATCGGGGGGTGGTGGTTAGCGTATATATATATATATATCTTTTCTTTTTTTTTTTTGGGGGGGGGGGTGGGCATAAAACATGCACCCGTTTTAGTGGCAAACACGGAAACAAAAGGGTAAGGGGTTAAGCGTTGCTTGCTCTTGTGGATAGACGGCCCGGCCACCCCCCTCCAAACTGCAGGGTTTTCAGAGCCTCTTGAACTCCTGTCTTAAAAACTTTTCAGGGCCTGGTCTGGAAAACAGGTTTGCGCGGGGGGTGGGGGGAGCGGGGGGGGGGGGGGTTGGGGGAAAAAAGGGGTGGCCCCACGACAGTTCCCTCAGGGATGACAGGCTGTCCTCCCGAATCTTGGTGGTTCCGGTCCCTTAAATTTTTAGGTTTCTAGTTGGTTTAGTGGTTTCCATTCAGTGGTGGTGGTTCAGTGGTGGTTTAGTGGTGGTTTCCATTTTAGTTTAGTGGTTTAGCGGTGGTGGTTTCTAATTGGTTTCTAAAGATTAAACTTTTAGCGGGAGATCGGAGGACGGCTGAGGAATGTGGAACGCGCTATCTCAATGTTCTTATTTGCGGACACTTCATTCGGACTTTGCAGACCCTCAGATGCTGTCATGCTTGGAGGCTGCAAGAGCCGGCTCTTATTTGCGTTGTCAATGTTCCTGAGCCCCTGCGCGTCATGCTAGCAAGCAACAAGGAAACATATTTGAGTGACACTCGCACCTTGTTTTGCTGCCACGGAGAATCAGAGCCAGACGCCTTTCATTTCTGGTCTTTTGATCAAAGCGCTTTCTCACCCACTGACGACCGTCACTTTCCTAGATGCTGATACGTTTGCTGGCTGTGCGCCAGCAGTTTGGCACCCGGCGCAGGAGAAAGCAGCCAAGCCCCGCGATGCAACTGCCGCTCGCCAAGGAACGCTGGAGATAGCTTGGAGTTTCTCAACCTCCTTTTGGTTGGGGTTTTTAGAGGGAATCCGAAAGCACGCCGACCATGGTACACGACCCATATCTTATCAAACACCCAGCTTGCATTTTTGTGCTGGTTGGTGATTCCTTGCATCCTGCATGCGAATCCAGGAGTGCAGCAGTCCAGGTGCTGGTTTTTGAGAACCCATGTTGCGGCCATCGCACGCTGGTTGTTTCTTCGCGGGGTATTGGAGCTGTTCAAGCACACACTTGAGAGACATGCATATGATCATTGATTTATGTGCGTGTCATGTATTGAGGGTACCTCTTTTGGCATTGGTTTAGAGGGAGAACAAACGGACACCGCCATTTCTTGGGTTTTCCTATTTTGAGAGAAACCCATATCAACCTCGGGTCGCCGCGCCCTTGTTTTTTTCAATCCGGCCATTGACAGGGAAGTCCAAAGAGCAACGGCGATCGCTGGAAGGTGTTTCTGAACCGAAAAACGAACGAGGGAACGGCAGGGACAACTGATCCATGCGTCAAACGAAGGGTTACCGTTCAGACAAACGAAGGGCGAAACAAAGCGAACGGCAAACGAAGGGTTTGCGCCTGACGCCTTTTCTTAGAAAAGGCAAACCCGTGCAGGGTTTAACCCTTTGACTCATGTGGACAAATGTAATGGGTCCTTAATAAAGAAGCGACATCATTTACCCTCATGTCTTGCTTTTAAAAGAGGGACGTTAAAGGTCTACTTAGGTGTGTCTCAAAATAGGGGTACCCCAAAACTGCTGGTTTCCTTTTGGTTTCTCTGTGAAACCAACCAGTTCCTCCCCAAAAAAGTCAGACCCACTTAGGCAAGCGCCTGGTGTTTGGAAGCGAACAGAAGTCCTGTCGTGAGAGGTTCCTACTGTGGATGGGCGAAATCCATTTCGAACCACCTAAGAAATCATGGTTGAAACCATGGTTCGTTGGGTATTTTCCGGGGAATCATCATTTCGGGGTTTTGTAGGGTCCATGCACAAGAGTGAAAGTGTTGCACATCCCGTGGATGGACAAATCCAGCACCAGTTGCCCAGCCGGTTTATCCCAGGATTCAAATCGGGTTTCATCCATTCCAACAGGTGCGGTTTGGAGTACCCAACTGCACGACTGCGGCACAATGCACAAGACGGTGGTTCCAATGCCCAGTTTTTGAAAAGGGCACCGGGAGAGGTTGCAAAGGTGAAACGGCGTCTCAAAGGTCTCAAAGGTCTCAAAGGTCTCAAAGGTCTGCCTACCGACGACAAAGAAGCGTGGCGGCTGGTCGGTTTCTGACCCAGGCGTGGGCCTTGCAGGCTTGGGCGGAGTTCGGGCACCTCCCAGCCCCAGGCTCGGGGGTGGCGCGTCTTCAATGGGAAGTTTGGGTTGGGTTTTGCAAGCATACATGATGGTCAGTGCAAAACTGTGACTTTCTTTAAGTGCGGAACCAGAGGTAGGTGGGTGTGGCTCAAAATTAAACGGGGGGGGGGGGGGGTACGCAGGTTTTGGTCCATGTTTCCACTTACCAGGGTTCCAATTTGATACCGGTTTTTTGAGCCGCGGCCAGGTCTTGGTTTTTGTGTCCCTTCCCATGTTGTTCGGGCTTGCAGGCTTGCAGGGGGAGGGGTGGAGTCTCAAGGGCCTTACCGAGAGCAGGCGATGCCTCGGATGCATCGGAGCCGCCCATTCGCGCCACCCGCTGCCTCTTGGCTTTGCCGCCGTTCGTTGCGACGCGTATGACACGTCGTTTTGGAGTGGGGGTTGGTTTGGTTGGAAGGTTGGCGTTGGCTTGGGTTCGGGTGGGCTCTAACCATCCATTTGCTGAAATGAATATATATATATATATATATATAGTTTTTTTTTCCCCCTGGTGGTTTTTAGAGGGAATCTCATCACTACTGGACATATCTTTATTTTTTCCAGGGGGCTTAAGCAAATGGAAGCAACTCATCTTGCTCTCAGCAGGACATTGGGAACTTGTTTCTAGGGCCCCCTCTTAGGGATTTAGCATGGGAATTTCATGTGTCTTTTTTAGTGATGCTTGATTTCCTTGTTGGATTTCATGGTGGGTTTTGGGGGAGAAATGGCCAAGGCTGGAGCATCATGTACTTGTTGCTGGCCACGTTAAGCATATGGACGCATGTTGATCGCCATTTGCCAGAATGATGGGCATTATGAATGGTTGAGTATGTGTGGATGCGACGCGTTTGTTGCTTGGTGCCTAGACGGCCTTCGCAGCCATGTTGGCCCGCTGAAGGTCCCCTAACAAAAAGGCACACCGAATGTGTGGACAGTCTCTCTTTCTCCCTGATTTTTGAGGGTGCCCGTTTTGGGGGCTGATTTTTAAGGGGAAACCCAAAGGCAGACTGTCATTTCTTTGGGATCCGCACATGCGAGTCAGGTGTTCTCCAGCAAAGGAGCCTGGTTTTGACGTCCAAAAACAACGTCAAGGTGCAAGTTTGGACACAGCGCATGCCATGTTTGCAGAGAGGGTTCTTTTCGCGGGGTCCGAAAATCAGCATTGGTGAAATGTCTTCACCGAGAATTTGGATGTTTAATGTATAGGTTTGGCAGAATGTTATCACCTAGAATTGATAGCTATGGGTGCGTCTCTAAATTAAGGGACCCCAAAATTGGTGGGTTTTCCTTTGGTTCCTCTTCAAGCTGACCTTGGGTCTAAGGTACCTTCAAACAGGGTCCATTTCCCTTTTTGGAACCTCAACTTTTGATTTGGGGAAATCCAGGGACCCCTGTCCCCAACATTTGCTTGAGCCTCAGGTGCGGCGAGTTTGTACCGCAAGCTGCAGTGGGGCGATGCATCGAGCCTCCTCTCACGCACCCGACGCTCGGCGGGAGCAGCAAACAGCGGGGGGTTGGCGCCGCGAACGAATCGGACCGTGCTGCATTCCATTCCCCGTTGGAATACTTTTTGAACAGTTTGTTAAAGCACATTTTTTACCCCTTTTGAGAACACTCCCTTTCCTTCTCTGGGAATGATTCCAAAGAACGTATTATGTTCGATCACATTAAAAACTCTTTTGAGAGGGTTTCCCTTTCAGATTAAGCAGTAAAATGGGAGCTGATCAATATTCCTGGCCCCAACATGACCATGGGTAACTGTTTTAATTTGGTGATTTAGTCATCGTTTTTGGTGGTTTACCTACTGGTCACCCCATGTATTGCGGACCTTTTGATCAACCAAACAGGTTCCCATGGCCACTGAAGGTGGACGACACTCCCTATTTTCCAACGGTTTGCGGGATGGTCTTCTCATTTTGGAAGGGGCCTTTATAGGACGCCCTCACTCGCAAGGCTCGGCTTTTCCCAGGTTTGCCCTTTTCAGCCACAGCTTGACCAAAGAGAAACAAGAGAGACCCCACCACCTTTTTTTTGGGGGATCCCCCGTTGGTGGGTCTTCCCATGTGGTTGTCATGTTCATTTTTTTTAAGTCGCCAAGCTGAATGGGCAGCTGGGGCTTTGCCAAGGCACCGGGGCTTTGGAGTCCTTGCTGTCCTTGGCCAAGAGCAGCCCCCTGGCGCATGTGCGGCGCCAGGCGACGGACGGTGGGTGGGTGGGAGGGGGGGTGTGGTGGACAGGTGGGGCCGTGCCCTCCTGTCGGTGCCACACGGGTTCTAGCAGGGAAATGGCCCATCGAGGTTCTTCCAGGACTTGTTTCTGGGGGTGCATGTTATTGGTGGATGGGAGGGTGATTTTGTGTTTTTAGGGGTTGGAGTCTGCAAAATGGACCCCAAGTGTCCATGGCATGGGGAGGGGGGGGAGGGGCAGGGGCGTACAGGGGGGGAGGGGGCTACAAGGTGCGTTGTTTCAAGGGTCCCTGACTTGACCGGGTGGTTCCAAATATATACATCTGCAAGATCCTTGTGCCAGATGGATTACGTGGTTTCCCTTGTGGTAGTCGTGTCCCTCGATGGACCACGGATGAGTTATTCCTCCCATGTTGAACAATGGGTGGTTGAAACGGCGCCTCTCTGGGCTAATTCTTTGCCTTCTGGGTGGTTTCAGCATCACCTTCTGATTGTTGAAAGACAAATCGGCCATCGCTACCTGGCGGATGCTTGGAGTCGATTTGATTTTGCAACACCTTCTTGGGGGTTCTGTTGTTTTGGGTTTTGGAACCCCTTTTGTGGGGGTTCCCTTTTTGTTTCGAGTTCCTTTCGGGCTGATTTTTAAGAAAGGGACTGAACAGAACATGTCTTTTAACAAATGTGGGTGAGGGGGTTTACCATCTCCTCGAGTCACACCCAACTGAAGGGTGGCCTGCGTGACGGTTACGAGCCATGAGAAAAAATGATGGTGTCCAACGTGGAGCCTACCGATCGGGGGTCCACTTTTTGGAGATGGGATGGCTATGTTGAGGTCTTGTCATGTAAGAGCTGTCTTCAGAAAATGCTCTGGCGTGCGGCTCCCCGCCACTTTTTGGAGATGGGATGGCTATGTTGAGGTCTTGTCATGTAAGAGCTGCCTTCAGAAAATGCTCTGGCGTGCGGCTCCCCCGCCACATTTTGGAGATGGGATGGCTATGTTGAGGTCTTGTCATGCAAGAGCCGTCTTCAGAAAATGCTCTGGCGTGCGGCTCCCCCGATGGGATGGCTATGTTGAGGTCTTGTCATGGAAGAGCTGTCTTCAGAAAATGCTCTGGCGTGCGGCTCCCCCGCCACATTTTGGAGATGGGATGGCTATGTTGAGGTCTTGTCATGCAAGAGCCGTTTTCAGAAAATGCTCTGGCGTGCGGCTCCCCCGATGGGATGGCTATGTTGAGGTCTTGTCATGGAAGAGCTGTCTTCAGCAAATGCTCTGGCGTGCGGCTCCAGGAACATGGTCTCAGCCAGGAGCCACCAAAATGAGGTTCCTGTGGGGAGGCTGATTCTGGGCCTGTTGACCCGTTTTCCAGGCTAGGAAGTTTCCAGTCCCGCTTATGTCTCTTTCGATTCCCCAACCGTTCTGGTTTGATTCCCATGGTGTCATTAACCGCGTTTCGGGACTCGCGGATGTCGCAACTATCCACGGAGAGCGGTTCCTTCTTCTTAGGGTTCCTCAAGGTTTCCCAGTGTCCTGGGAGTGGGGTTCCGACGTTTAGGACAGACGTTGTGTGAATGCGTTCACCAGCGAGTCCTCAAGATTTGGTTGTCATTTGATTTCCCAAAGTTCCTTAGGGCTCCTCTGGGGTTCCTTGGGTTCCTTGGCTAGGTCCCCCAGTAGTGCTCTTTCTCTCCCCTCTTCTGGTTGGGAGGGTTCCCCACGAAAATAGAGAAACAAGTGGGTACTCTTCTTCTAACCTCTCAAATGGACCTAGGTTAGGGATACTCCCAATTTAGAGGCTTCCTCGGCGGGTTTCCTTCAAAAATCCTTGGGGTTTCCTTACGGCTCCGGGTTCCTTGGGGTTGGTTCCACGGCGAGCCGCCTTCGCCTCAGGCGCTGCTGGGCCTGGGTGCGGCCTGCGCCACGGAGGTCGGGGACGGGGAGTTGAGTGGACTTGGCCGGGTGAAACGGAAGTCAAGAAGGAGTGCTTCACCCTTCGTGGAGCCTGTTTTTGCTGTTTTGTTTGTTGTGATCATCTCCATTTTTCCATTTTTGCTTTTGCTTTTGCTTTTTTTTGCTTTTTGTGATATTTTTCTCCATTTTTGCCGGCCCATTTGTTTGGGTAGGGGCTGCAACAGCCATGTTGTTCGGCGACCGTGCCGAGTGTGAAGCAAAGGACCGGCCCAGAAGGGTGACCATAACACAGGTTGGGTGGATTTTGGAGCGAAATGATGTGTGTGTGTGTGTGTGTGTGTGTGTGTGTGTGTGTGTGTGTGTGTGTGTGTGTGTGTGTGTGTGTGTGTGTGTGTGTGTGTGTGTGTGTGTGTGTGTGTGTGTGTGTGTGTGTGTGTGTGTGTGTGTGTGTGTGTGTGTGTGTGTGTGTGTGTGTGTGTGTGAAGCGTCCTGGAGCACGGACGGAAATTCCACATTGCAGGGGGACTGGAGCCGATTTGCCTATCCAGTCCAATGAAGCTACGGCATTTCGGTGGATACCGGATCTGATCAATCCGGCGTACCTGCCTATTTCCTGACCCTCTTTCCTGATTCCTTTTGCGGTTTCTGTTTGTCGCTGTTGCTTCCTGTTCGGTGTCGATGTTGTGACCTGTTGATTTGCATTTGCATTCAAGCATTTTTACTGACTGCGTTTTTCATCTCGGCTAGTGAAGCCTCTCGAGATAAGTGTGTTTACCCACGGCCTGTCCGACATGGCGCTGTGGGCTGGACTCGCCACATGCGGGAGCCCCCTGCGAGGGGAAGACCGTTCAAGTGTTCAAGTTCAAGCTGCAGTTCAGTTCAGCGCGTTTGACCACGATCAAGGCTGCAGCTTGAGGTCTTAAGGTATTCCGCACCCAAATGGTGCTCTGCTGGTTTCATGCGCCTGCACTGCCTGCACTGCCTGCCTTTGAAGCAAGGCTGCACCCACGAGGTTTCAGGCTCCTAAGCTTCATGCGCCAGTGACGAGTTGGTCATACACCAACTCTGCGATTCGTGGCGTTTATGGAAGCTTTCGTCTCGGATGAGTTCAGTTCAGATTCATCGGCATAGCCACATGAGGCACTTTCATGAGGCCACTTGACAGGCACCTCTGAGAACCCCTTTGTGCTCGCATGCATTTCTGTGGAAACTTTTGCCGTTGCCGCGGGGTTTTGGCGGTCCCCTGGTGGAATTCCCTCTGTTTGGTTTCGATTCGCAGGTTGAAGTTGGCTCGCATGCATTTGCACCATTGACGCATTTTTGCCGCAGTTGTGGTTTTGTTTTCACCCCTTTCCAACCTTCTCTCTCCCTTGCGAGATGGCTGGACACCAGCTCTATGACATGATGCATTCGCTCCTGCATAGCATTGCGACCGGCACCGCGTCCGGCTCACCAGGCAATTGTGGACCGAACTTGCAGCTGTCATCCCAGATGACGCAGCCCATGAACCTTGTACCGTCACCCAACTCGCAGACGGCATCCTTCACACCTTTCCCCATGATGCCCTACGGCGGCCTCTCGAACTTTGGCAACCCGATGGCCATGATGCCCTACGGTGGCCCTCCCAATTACGGCAACTTGGCACCTGGCACCATCATGCCTTTCATGACTCAGAGCAGCATGCCATCTTCACTGCCCGAGCCTCAGCCGGCGCGCGCGCCCGAAGCTGCCGCTGCGGCTCCTGCCGCTACCTCCTCAACCAACCACCCTCCCCCGGACACTCGGCACCATCCCCACTCTCGCAGATCCCGTTCCCGCCACAGACAGCACCGACACTCCCACTCCCACACCAGCCACCATCGCAGGCACAACAAGTCGCACCGACGACACGACACCCGACGATCCCGCAGCTACAGCAGGTCACGTTCCCTTTCCCGACACTTCCACCACTCCCGACGTGCACACCACTCCACTGTCTCCCTCCGCTCCCGCTCCCCCCGACACAGGTCCCACCATCGACACTCCCCTGCACCCAGAGCCACGACTTCGCACCGACCCACTCACACTACTCATGATTCCACCTCCTGGCGCACTTCCGGGAAGGATTCCAACAAGTCTCAATGGTCCTCCTCACACTGGCGGAACCAATCGTGGGGATACCCACCACAGAACAAAAACCGCTGGGACATGCACCACCATGGCGCCAGCCACACCGGCCACCGAAACAACCAGGACAAACGATCGTCCTGGTCACTGCAGCACCATGGGCAGCAACCCCACCCCACTTCCCGCACCGGCCACCACAACACTAGCTTGCCCCCTCACCCAGCACCTGCGGCGGCCTTCACTTCCACTCCCCCTCCCCCTCCCCGACCCACGCCGGCTACTCCTCACCCTCCCCAACCCCCCTTCGACAACACCGGTGATTTGGATCCCCCTCCATCGGAGGCGGACATCAATGCCACCACCACTTCCGACAACCGGTGGCTTGATCTATGGAGAAACGTCATGGACACGGCCAAGACTGACCCGCTGCGAGTTCCCACGCCTAGGGAGTTGGGGGAGCTGGACCCGCTTCCAGCCTTGGACATCTCCAGGGTGGAACAGACTAAGGCCATTTTGATGGACCTGGACCCTGCTTTGCCACCTTCACATGCCGATCTCCTCGCGGAATGCTGGGAACTGCGAACCATGGACACGGATGATCCCATACCGTTCGATCCCAGCTTCTACCACCTCTTGGGACGGGAATCACACGGCATGGTGTTCGCAACCACTTGGTTTCCCCGACCTCATCCTTGGCCAGTTGCTGGCGGAGACCCGGAAGCTGGATCCGGCACGGCCTCCCATCACGCTGTCATGTATGTGCACGGCACCACCCCGGATCGAGTGCGCCGCATGTGCCATGAGAACATGATCCGACCCGCTGCTTGGAGGCCCGAGAACCATGACTACCCGAGCTTTGGATGCTACGCTCAGGCCACCCCCACGGCATGCACGCCCGACACGCTCGGCCAGCTCTTGCAGAACTTTACAATCGGAAAGTCTCAACTCGGCGCCATCGCTTTTGGGGAACTACGCTCCATCAATCAGCACAAAATCCTCGAATCCGGGGGAAGCCACGAGGATCAACACAACGTGCGGCGCCACTTCGCATGCCGCCGAGGCAAAAAGTGGTGCCTTCACTCCAAGTTTGCGATGCTGAGAGGCATCGCGCTGCAGCGCCCGGCTTAGCGGGGCGCAAGTGTACCATCTTCCACCCAACCAGGAAAAGAATTGGTGCACTGTTTGATCGCCTTTTTTCTTTGCTTTGCTGTTCTGCCTTTCCGCGACCGTTCTCTCACCTTGTGACCTTACCCGCTTGATTCCGCTCACCAGCTTGTGGTTCGAACATTTCCTTTTCCCCCGTGTTTTCTCATGGCTTTCCAACCCCCTCGAGGTTTGGTTACGGCGCTCCAAAGGCAAAACTTACCACCGCAGCCTTCGCCCACGGCATCCCATCATCATGGCATCGTGTACGGCAACAACATGGCCGGGAACCCGTGCGGGGCCCTGTCCGGGCCTTCCTACGGATGCTCTTCCACGGCATCGGCACCGCCAGCTACACATCCGACTCCCTGTCAGACCTACGGCCAACCTATTCCCCGTTACCCACCACACCCCGGCCCTCGTCCACCCTCCTTTGGCGGCTCTCTCCCCCCCCCTCCCGGCGGCAACCCCTTTCCCCCCCCTCCCCCCGTCCATCTCAGGCCTCCCTCCTGGACTTCGGCATAAAGCGACCACGGTTGACTACACCTGACACATCACCGCAGGACGGATCCCCCGCTCTACCCCTGCCCACTCGCATTGCAGACGACTCCCAACCCCCCCCGGCTCCCCCCACCCACGGCGGCAACCCTCCTGCCCCCTCCACCCACGGCGGCACCCCGACCCCTCCCCCCCTCCCCTCCCCACCCACTTGGAAGGAGCCCCGCGACTTGCTCCAACCACCTCCCCACGTTTGCCAATGGCTCACCAGCAACTTCCCACCCGACATTTCCGACACCAAAGTCCAGCGATGGATCACCTCTCAGAAAACCAGCAAAGAGAGCAAGCATGTCCTAAAAAGCTGGTCCAACGACTGCGCAAAATGGGCAACCACACTGGACTCCGACACCAGAGCCCAACTCGAACGAGCCGCTGTGCTATGGGGCATCCCGGTGCGAACCCTATCAAAACTGGGGTCACCGGCCTTGGGCCGCATCCTGGCCGCTGCGAGTCACTTCTACCAGTGACTCTCAACAGCACACCGACAACGACGCACAGCCAGGCAGCACAAATTTTGGCAACACCACTGCTGCCAACTTCTCACTGTCCTCCGTTTCACTCTTCGGTTCTTCCCAACCGATGACGTCACCGCACGTCATTCTTGCTCCTGGCTACTCGCACAGCTTCAGCTACTTGACGTCTGCCATCTCTCCTGTGGTTCCGGCAGACTGAAAGCCCTGCTTACTCGACTTGGCCTGGACAACCCTGCTTCCGATTTCTCTTCTCAGCTTGTCCCTTCAGCGGTTTATCTGAGATTCACCAGCCATCCAAAGTGGCAGGCCTTTTTCTACCTCGGAGCCACTCGCGCCTCCCTCATGGCACGGGGCCGCAGCCAACTTCGCAAACTACTCCAAGTTCAGCGACATCATCTGGTCAATGCCGAACTGGCAGTCCGGTGGTGGGCACATTTCGACTTTTTCCACCACTACACCTCGGTGCCCATTCACACTGTCGTTCCGGCAACGGACCTATTTGCCACTGAACAGTTCTACATCCAGGAACTGCAACCGTCTCTCAATTTTGGCTTCATCGAGAAACATTTCCGGCCACGCACGGGCTTCATACGCCAATTGGACTTCTCCCAATCCCGGCACATGGGCTTCGCCACCATCTGGCGAAAACGCCGCCGACTACGACTACCCATCGCCCTACAACAGGCCTTCCTGGCCAAACGCGTGGACAACCGCCTGGATTTGTGGCGATTTTTGGGCGATCTTGGCAGCAACACTCTACGACGATTTGATGCCATCCGTTACATACGGACCAGAGACTTCCCACCCGCCGCTCTCTATGTCCTTCATCGCATAGCCACACACCTGCCTGAACCACACCACCAGGCATGCCTTTCCGCCATTCGATCCAGTTTACAATTCCGGGGCCTCATTCCACCTGGCCCCTCGAGACCGATGCTTGCACCCTTCCTCGCCTGGCGACTACTGCTAACCTGGTACCGACAACGACAACCACACTCCTCTACCACACACCTCACAGTGGACACACTTGACACCTCTGCCATCACCCGCGTCTACAACGGACGCCGTCGCCGACACAAACCCACACAACGCACCCTGTGGCTCGACGACATCCCCGAGATCATTCAGGCCACCCTTGACATGCAGATCTTCTCTGTCGGCCTTCGTTCATTCAGGCAAACACGTGGGGCACCGATGGGATCCCCCGCGTCCCCAGCTCTCTGTTTGATGGTGATCGCGGTCGCCGAACAATGTTGGACCAACACTCACATCACATCGGGACTTCGCTCCGTTGAAGATACTCTCCTACTCCGCTACGTGGACAACAGACTCGTGATCGCAACCCCCAGGTGGCTCTCGACTCCGGCAGCCAACATACTGTGCGACGAACACTTCTATGGAGGAGACATCTTCCTGGACACAGAAGCCGCCCTGGACTTCTTGGGGTTCCGACTGAACCTCACAAGCAGCACCATCTCCTTCATCCCCTCGCATGAGAAGCACAACATGCTCTCCGTCAAGTCAGCCGCACCACTGATGCATAAGGAATCTGGATGTTATTCCGGACGCACGCTGATCAACCGAGTTTCCTTTCCTGAGTTTCAGCGAGGTCAGGGTCTTGCAATGTTGAAGAGGTTGCACCTCCAACACGGTTTCACCTTACAAAGAGAAGAAAAACCGTCCTTTGCGGAACCACACTGGTTTTCTTCTCTGCCTTTGCATCCTGACAGATTTGACCTGATTTTCGCGCCGCAGCTGTTTGACTGTTTGACCAAAATCCGTTACGAGCATGGATACCAACACAGCACGCCAGCTGCTCCAAGACTTCGAACTCATCCTTGGCATTGCCCAACAAGGCATCGCCACCATCCGCGAGTTCCCTGAGAGTCCGCCTGCCGAACCTGATTTGGCACCGGAGGCCACGTTCAACCCCGCCATTGAGGACCTGACCAACTCACCACCAACACCCCTCCTGGCCCCCCTCGAGGACCTCTTTGAGCCACCTCCTGATGCTCCAGATGAACACCTTCCCACTGATCATGACGAACAATTCCCTGATCATTGGGCTCCGCCCACCCCTCCTCCGTCTTCTCCCGGCGAAAAACGAGCTCGCCGCGCACGTGATTTGGCCTCCTCACGATCTACGGCATCCAAAACCTGCTCGTGGACCAAGCGAAGCTACCACATCGACCAGGACTGATGCCTCTACTGAGGCCGAACCTGAAGCCTCGCAGCCTTGGACTGAGGGAGAGATTGAACTCCTCCGTTCCCTTAAGACCAATTCCAAAGCCAAGTATGTGTGGTCAGTCATCGCCACAAGACTTTCTCGCACAATTGATGCTTGCAAGACTCAATGGGCCTTGCACAAGTGATGTCGCCCCAGTTGGGGCTCCGTGTGTGTGAAGCGTCCTGGAGCACGGACGGAAATTCCACATTGCAGGGGGACTGGAGCCGATTTGCCTATCCAGTCCAATGAAGCTACGGCATTTCGGTGGATACCGGATCTGATCAATCCGGCGTACCTGCCTATTTCCTGACCCTCTTTCCTGATTCTTTTTGCGGTTTCTGTTTGTCGCTGTTGCTTCCTGTTCGGTGTCGATGTTGTGACCTGTTGATTTGCATTTGCATTCAAGCATTTTTACTGACTGCGTTTTGCATCTCGGCTAGTGAAGCCTCTCGAGATAAGTGTGTGTGTGTGTGTGTGTGTGTGTGTGTTTGTGGAGGGATCCCACTGCGGATGTTTGCGAAATCCATTTCGCACCGCCGCTTTTGACACCATGGTTGAAACCTCTTTTTGTTGGTATTTACAGTATGGGTGTGTGTTTTTGGAGGGATCGTGCTGTGGATGGACAGAATCCGATTCACCAGTTTGGATATATGACACCATATTGTAAATACTTGGTCAACCACATACCAACTGGTGCAGGATTTTGTTCATCCGCTGTAATGCTGTTTGACATGGCTTAAAAAACAATAATGATTAGACTTCTTTTCAGGTTGGCTTAACGGGAAACCAGCAGGAACGCAACGCACAGGGTCCAAAAAACATCCCTATTTTGCCACAGTTGAAAAATGACGGTTTCCCGGAAACGACTTGCAGGGCTGCAGTTTGTGCGTGTTACTCGGCAAATGGGCCCCTTAGGGGCCAAGGAGCTGACGTTATTCAAGGGCAAAGGCTTGGCCTCACGGCCAACGACCCCCTCAAACTGGCGCAGCGGGAAACCCCTTGGCTTATCCTTTCGCGCGTTCCCTCAGCAACCTCTCCCAATTGGCCGGCCTGGAAATGGAAGCTCCGGTCTTGAGGGGTAACTTGGAGCTTCCAAGGAATCGCCAGGTGGCACAGAAAACACATCACATATTTGCAACCAGAGCAACGGAGCCAGGCGGAGCTGATTTGCTCCCGCTGCATGGCGGAGGCTGTTGCAGCAGGCGCCGAAGTGGCTCAACGGGTTTGCTTTTGGTTCTCCTTTAAACTCAGAAAGAAGAGTACCCGCGAAAAGAAGACAACCCATATGTTGAGCATGAGCCGCTCGCCCCCCATTCGATGGTTTTTTGAAGAGGGGCTTGTTTGGAGGTAACATGGGCAGGCTGTGGGGGCGTGGGGGCGTTTGGGATCGTTTGTTTACGGGTGTTTTGATCAACCCTCTTTCAAAACGATTTGCGAAACCAAAAGGGACAAGCTAGTCATTTTGGGACTAGCTGGAAACCAAGGAGACATCAAAAGGCAACCCCAAGGGACATCAAAAGGAAGCCGAAAGGGCAAGCACACTCGTTGGGGTTCAAACCTCCAAAGGGAAGCCAGTTAACCACCACCCTTGCAACAGCTAGTTGTCCTTTTGAGACTTCAAACAAGCGACCCTTTTCAGGTTGGTTTAAAGTTTAGAGGGAACCAAAAAGACACCTTTCATCTTGAGCTTCTGGCCCCATGTGCATTTTCCGGGTTGGTTTAGAGGGAGCCAAAAGAACCCCCGACACATTTTCTGGTTTCCAAATTCCCAAGAGGCAAGGCTACGCCACGCAGCGACTTCTTTTTATCTATTTCTTGAAAGGAGCGCAGCCAAAGAACATTCATAGATTTATCCTAGGAATTTCACCCGGAGTTTTCTGTTTCTTCTTTCGGACATTTTCACCCGGAGCTTTCTGGGGAACCCCCCCCCCAAAAAAGAAAACAGAAGAAGACAACACAACATAAACAATAATCCCCAATGTTCCCCCTTTTTGGCTTGGTTTGGGTTTCTTGCTGCTGCTTGGCCAGGAAGGGAATGAACCTGGGGATTCCCGAATAAAGGAAGCCATAGACAGGGGTTGTTTATGGGGGTCATCCCATTTCTCATTCCCTGAGCACCAAGGTTTGTTTCTTTGTTGAAACGGAGGTCAAAGGAAAGGCCCAGGATGGCCATTTGCGTTTAACCAATTTAATTTATTTTTGTTTTAGCGAGAACGCCGATTTTTTTAGGGGGAGCTCCTTCTTTTCCCCTTCTTCGGCCGGGTTTTCTCGCCCCCACCGCAACGGCCGGACTCCGAGGCCTGCAGGACGAGGCGGCCTTTGCGCGGCTGGCGGCGCTGGAGCTGGTGGCGCAGCTGAAGCCCCAAGGCGCGGTGATCGCTCAGAGCGGTGGCGCGCAGCTGATGGGCGCGGCGGCCCATTTTTTCCGCTGAGCGGAAGGGGGGGGGGGGGGGTTCGGAATCCCATAAAACAACACAAAAAAGCACACACCCACACACACCCTTTCTCCGCCGCCTTCTCCCCCCGCCCCCCCCCAATTATGAAAATACCCTTTAGGGCCCGTTTCCTCAACACCAGCCCCCCATCAAGTGCTTTTGTTTTTTGGGCAGATAAAAAGGAGAAACAAAAACAACAACAACCACCCTGCAGCACCAGGGGAGAGGTGTGACATCCACCCGCCCCCCCCACGTGCCCCTTGTGCCTTTGAGACGCGAGGCGCAGACGGTTCCGCACGGGTGAAGGAGTTGCGGCAGCTGGCGCGACAGCGGCTCGCGGACTGCTCGGTGCTGGCGCCTCGGATGATTTTAAATATGCGAACAAGAGAGATGGTGTTTTGAGGGTAGAAGATGGAGTTGTCCAGGTGGATTTTGGAAGTCGCCTTTTGAGGGTCCCCTTTTTTGAAGTCATTGTTTGAAGAGTTCTCACTTCGGGGTTCCTTGCTGGAACTCCGTTCCAGGGTTGGGGGGTTGGGGTTTCTTTCCTGAGTTCCGTTTCGGACTTTGGGCACTTTTTGGGTTTGGACCGTTTGAGTGGGAAACAAACAGTTTGGCTACGTCTTTTGGCCCAGCAACTCCGGAAGTGAGAGATGGAGTTGTAAAGGGAAACCAAAACGAGCACCATGTTGCAATGCAAAGCAGCACAAGGACCTGCAAAAAAGGGACAGACCCAAAAAGATAGACCCAAAAGGACAACACCATGTTGGAGCTTCCAACCTCCCAACACCAGACAGACCCATGGATGGACGAAATCCTGCACCACCTGAGAAACCCTGGTGTCTGATTCGTTCCCCCTGTTGTACATAGCAACAAAAGTTATGGGGTGTTTTTAACCCTGGTTTCATTTCGAGAAGCGGACTTCGCAACCATCCACAGGAGTTTCCCCCCAGACGTGGTCTCTGCAGCCCCCCCCCCCTCAAATAAAAAGAAAAAACGAGAAACAAAACTGTACACACAAATCTGATTGTTTTCCTTGTGGTTTTCCTTTTGGTGTTCCTTTCAAACCTCCAAAAAACGGACCTCCAAAAAAGAGACAGACCCAAAAAGATAGACCCAAAAGGACAACACCACGTTGGAGCTTCCAACCTCCCAACAGCCAGACAGACCCATGGATGGACGAAATCCTGCACCACCTAAGAAACCCTGGTGTCTGATTCGTTCCCCCTGTTGTACATAGCAACAAAAGTTATGGGGTGTTTTTAACCCTGGTTTCATTTCGTCGTGCTAGAAGCGGACTTCGCAACCATCCACAGGAGTTTCCCCCGAGAAGTGGTCTCTGCAGCCCCCCCACCCCTCAAAAAAAAGAAAAAACGAGAAACAAAACTGTACACACAAATCTGATTGTTTTCCTTGTGGTTTTCCTTTTGGTGTTCCTTTCAAACCTCCAAAAAACGGACCTCCAAAAAAGAGACAGACCCAAAAAGATAGACCCAAAAGGACAACACCATGTTGGAGCTTCCAACCTCCCAACACCAGACAGACCCATGGATGGACGAAATCCTGCACCACCTAAGAAGCCCTGGTGTCTGATTCGTTCCCCCTGTTGTACATAGCAACAAAAGTTATGGGGTGTTTTTAACCCTGGTTTCATTTCGTCGTGCTAGAAGCGGACTTCGCAACCATCCACAGGAGTTTCCCCCCAGACGTGGTCTCTGCAGCCCCCCCCCCGTCAAATAAAAAGAAAAAACGAGAAACAAAACTGTACACACAAATCTGATTGTTTTCCTTGTGGTTTTCCTTTTGGTGTTCCTTTCAAACCTCCAAAAAACGGACCTCCAAAAAAGAGACAGACCCAAAAAGATAGACCCAAAAGGACAACACCATGTTGGAGCTTCCAACCTAGAAGAACAGAAGAAGAGGACCCCCCCCCCCCCACAAAATGGTTGTTTTCCGTTTGGTTTCTCTCAAAAAACCTCCAAAAAGGGACAGACCCCATCACTTCGAACGGGCGTTTTTCGTCGCGAAAAAGGTGCGGAGGGGCGCCTTCCGGGCCGCGCTGGGGTGGCTGGAGGAGCTGGAAATGCCGCTCGCTGGCGCGGACGCATCGCCCCAACGGTTTTCCTTTTTCAGGGCTCCTTAAAAGATCGGCTCCTTAAAAGATCTTTTACAGGGTTTTGACCCACAGCCAAATGTGTAGAAGATTCAGTTTTCGTGGGTCCACATCCAAAATACCACACCCACCCAGCTGGCCCAAAGGCGATGTTTTGGTCAGGGCTCCTTAAAAGATCTCCATTTTGCAGCCAGTTGACACATGTTGCTTTTGCAACACCAAAATAAAGTTGGACACCACCATTTACAACTTGCAATGTTCAGGTGTATGATGTAAGGATCTTTGTTTTTTGAGAACACACCACATAGGGAAACCAAAGGGAAAACCCACCATTTTGGGACAGGGGGGTTGGAACCCCTTTTGGTTTTGATGCCCTTTGCACTTGGATGTTCGATTCGCCAACTTAGGAAGTGGGGATCGCTTGGGGTTCAATCCCTAACGACAAGGTTAGCCCCATTGAGCGGGGGACTTGCAAGTGGTTTATGACCTTGGTTCCCAACAACTTACTAACTTGGCCGAACAAACAAGTACCAGGTCACTGCGCTGTAAAACCGGGGATTCCACGTGGCTCCCGGCCAGGAAACTGAGATTGTCCCACCACGGGTGGTTCTACAAAGGTCCCTATATTGTCCTAGTCTAAACCATGACTTGGATTTTTGGTGGCTGAGTTTCCTCTTGGGAGGCCTGTGTAGACTCATCTTTCTGTTGTTGCAGAAGTCATGGGCAGCACCCATGTCAGATGACAAGCACACCCGTTCCACTGCACTCGTGGTGGACTGCACCGACACGTCTGCGTCATGATAAACACACCTGCACCTCAAGCGCGCCGGCGCAGAGTCGGCAATGTCAGCGATCGCTGCACGCGCTTGCTGGCCAAAACTGGGCGCGCTTGTTGGCAGAGCAGTTCTAGGGTCAACAACCCACGCGTTCCAGGTTTTTCGGAGCCTGAAGAGAGACGCTTTTCGGCGCTGACCGGACAGTCAATTTGCCTGCGAAGTCCAAGATGGAACGCATGTTGGTTCAAATACGTCGGAAGTGTTTACCTCTGCACAGATATATTTGATATGAAAATGCTTTGTTCGCCGTATTTGATCTGGCTTTCCGCTGTTATGCCTTCTCCAGTTCGCCTACCTCTGAGGAATGACTGTGTCCTTTTTTCCGGTTGGACCCACTAAACTGGATGGGCTTTGTTGGGGAAAACAGAAACGTGAGCAGAGGTCCCCCAAATGTGGGAATACTTGGGTGTTTCTGAAAATAGGGTTCCTTAACAAGGTTGCTTTTCTTTGGTTTCCCTTTCAAGCAAGCCCAAAAGGGGTACCGAGCCACGAAAAACCACATCCGCGACCGACGAGACCCTCGCCACCGAGGCCCGGGCAGCTGGCGGAGGCCGGGGAGCTCCTGCGGCGCCTGCGCACGGAGACTCCGCAGATCCGAGCCCAGGACCGAGCGACGGACGGATCCGTTGGATCGTCGGATCGATGGTTTCGAGCCGCTGGGTGGAGCGCCGTTGCTTTGCGGAGAGGAGATATCCACACCACTCCAAAGCGGTGGGGATCTTTTTTGTGGACTGGGGTCACCATTTTGACTGTTTCTGGGGTTATGAAAGGCAGAAACCGGGGTTGTTTCCTTCATTCCATCACTTTAGGGGTGACTTTGAAAAAGGGAAAGCAATGAGGAAAAAGTGGCAGGCGTTGCTTTGCGGAGAGGAGAAATTAATCCAGACTCCAAAGCGTCACCTTTTTTTGTGTGTGGTATCTCCATGCTTGGATTGGCCTTGGGGTTTGGTGGTTTGGCGGTTTGGCGGTTTGGTAGACGACCATTTCTTTCATTTGCAGTTTGTTTTTAACTTTATTTGTGCTTTTACAACAACAAATCCCCTGTTGGTTTTGAAGGGAATTGATTTCACTACTGGACATATGTTCTCATTTTCTCCCCTGGGCTACAAAACAAATGGAAGTAACCTTGCCCAATGATTCCATGTCCATATCACCAAGGGCTTGCCACCCTTTCCAAACCAAAAGGACATTTGGTGGTTACCTACTACCTACAAATGGCGAATAAGCAAATGGCGAATTGCACGGGAATCATCCCTTGGTAATTGCACGGGAATCGAATCATCCCCTTG